ACAACTCTGAGCTATTAGTTAAGTTCTCCCCAAGCGAGCTCGATGGGCCGAATGGCCTCCTCTCGTTTGTATAGTTCTTATGTTCTTATAACATAATTTTAACCTATTGCACAAATTGTATTTCAATGTGACACTGGATTTGTTCTTGTATCTGTAACCAACAAAGATTTTGCTAATCCCAGAAGGGTATAATCTGAAATGTAAATCACTCATAGTTACTTCGCACTGTCACCTGTGCAGTAGAAAAAGTACTATAATACTAGTTGCTAACCATGCCAGGTCTTATTGTGGACAAAATATTTGTATTCTCCAAAAGGAGCAAGACTGACACCAGCTCTTAAAAACAAACAAAAAAAAAACATTTTTAATTTGGCAAAAGTACATCTGGTCCAAATCAGTCTCCAATTTGACACAAAGTCCTCACTGTGAAGAGTGATCTGTCAGTGTGCTCTGTGCTTCCTGCCTCACTCTGGGAGGAAGTCCGTCGGCGAGCAGGTCTGTAATCCACATCTGCCAGGTTGTCAGCCCGTGGGAGCTCCTATTGAAGATCAGTTTAGCGCTGCCAGGCTCCGTCTTTTGGTGTTAATAACTAGTCTTTTAGTAGTCTCGTCGGCTATTGTCGTTGTCACACAGCTCACCGCAAGGCAGCAAAGCTGCTCTTTGATGACAGGTACAGAGGTCACCAGTAATGGAAATACAGACAGTTTAAACTAGAACTTAGTACACAAATTCAAGTATGATTCATGTCTAAAATACCAAATATTTTTGCCTACAAATATATTCATATGTACAAATAATTTATCCCATTCTGTCTACACTCTATAACCAGTGTGAATTAACCATGTCTGGAATTTGTGAAATGTACAAAAATATCAGCTGTACTTAAGGGAGTTGCAAATGCCATGTAAATATAAATTCTCCTTGAAAATCTGTTAAATATATCAGTTGCCATAGTATGAATATATACAGGCAGTGTATATTCAAATACTCTTTTACCCAGAACACTGAATATACATATAGAATAGGATTCTTTACACTATAGTTGCATTGGCATATTTTACCATGAGTAGTGGAAGGTGAAAAACAGACTTTTAAAGTGCTCCATGCAGTGTTAATATCAACCAAAAATATAACAGGAATATTCAATAATTTGCAACCCCTTTAAACTTAAGTTGTACAGATTTAACTGGATGTTTTTTATTACATTAATGGATGGTATTTTTACATTAACTTATTTCCATAATGACCAAATCCTATCCTTCCCTTATGCAATGAATTGAAGCCTGAAAGCAGATTTAATTCTAAGTTAAACATAAATTGAATTCATTACCACCACCCTCCAGATAAATTTAGCTGCATCTAAAGTAACCAGTATGTATCTATGTCTATGAGCATAACATACATATTAAAAAAAAGCTTAAAAGCTTTCCTGTGGAAAGTAGCCCAGTGAATACAATAAAGCTATAAAGTAACACTTTTTTGTTGAAAATGAAATGGAAATTAATCTCATTCCACACATTACATTTAGGGATCAGACACTCTTATCAATGGCTACCATACCAAAAAAGATTAAAAGCCAGAACTGGGACAACAGACAATGCAAACCATGCAAACATTGTGTAGACACCCACAGTGTACTGGACATATTGCACACATTAACATCCCAGGTAAGTTAATAAATGCAAAACAAAAATGCCACAGAGGAGAACAAACTGGCTAAATATGCCTGATACACATGGCATATATACATAGACTTTATGGTGTGTGTGTATGTATGTATGTGTGTGTGTGTGTGTGTGTGTGTGTGTGTGTGTGTGTATATATATATATATATTATATATATATAAAATACATATATATATATATATATATATAAAATACATGGCATCTATACATACACTGTATGTCATATATATACTACACGGCATGTATACATATACTGAATGTCATATATATACACACTACACGGCATATATACATATCCTGTATGGTATATATGCACTACACGGCATATATGCTGCCCGAAAGTCACTGGCGTCGATGGCATGTGGATGTTCTAGACATCATTTTTGTACGCAGTGAAATAAAATGAAAATGTTTTGTGCTCGATGGCCTGGCACTATTTGTACAACGATGTACTTCGGAATTGGTTACAAGTATTTACATCTTTTATGCTTTTTAATGTCTCATGTTTCCATCAGAATATCATAAATACTTTTAAAAAGTGTTCATGCAGTCGTTTGCTTTACCCTTCACCCCTACGTTAAAGGCTCGCCTCTAAATCCTTCTCTGCCCCACTTCTCCTACGGCTTTTACTTCATATCACTGCATCCATTCAAACTGCTGTCTGCTCATAAAGAAAAATAATTATTGCTTTTTTTAGTATTTTACGAAATGCTTCTTGTCACTGTCGTTTTTTACCTCTTAAATCCCTCTCTTACCCTACTGGACTGTCATCCATTTTCTCTATCTTGCTTTTTGTTTTTATATACAGCTTCTCTAGTTTGATTTCATTTTACCCTGACCCTCTTACCCCCCTGCCCCGCCGTTTCATGCCATTGTGCTCAGCCCACCCCCACCTTGCATGCTGAAATACTCCGGGAAGTGAGGGGAGAACCTGGGGGGTGGCGGGGACCTAATGGGAACACGTGGGGGCACTGGGGGGGGCAGGAAGGACGATAAATCGGCTGTCGTGGTGATGATTTTACGTTCGCTATTCCTTCGTACAGCTTGAACCTTCTGGGTCACCGTCTCTTCCACTGACTTGACTGAGCCCTGCATAATTGACACTGGATTTAAAATTACTCATTTAAAAAATGGCATTAAAAACACCAAACCCTATCTTCTGTAAAACTCTCCCCCTTGAATCAGTAACTCCCGGCCTCCCCATGGCTTACCGGTCCCCATCTCCCGGCCTCCCCATGGCTTACCGGTCCCCATCTCCCGGCCTCCCCATGGCTTACCGGCCCCCATCTCCCGGCCTCCCCATCGCTTACCGGTCCCCATCTCCCGGCCTCCCCATCGCTTACCGAACCCCATCTCCCGGCCTCCCCATCGCTTACCGATCCCCATCTCCTGCCCTACCCTTTGAACCCCCAATGCTTACCGAATGGATGGAGAAGAGCTCTGTGAAGTTGGGCTGCGAGTCTCCCAGGTAGGAGCTGTTCCCGTAAGCATGGTGCGGGAAGCTCTCGCTCCCCATGCCGTCCGGACTGGAGAGCAGGATCCCAATCTGGGAAGTGCGGACATGGTATGGGAAGTTCTTATTGGCAGCCGATGGACGTGTGATGGCCTTGGGAAGAGAGAAGAGGAGTGTGTATGGAAAATGCCAAATATACACAGAAAAATGCAAGATTTTATCCATCCACTCATCCATCCACTTCCCATAGCCAGTTCTGTACTGCTATGAAAATATTTTTATACAGTGGTGCCTGTGGTTCACGAACGCTGTGATCTGCGAACAATTCGCATTGGTTTGCGTACAAAATTTGGTCGACGGACAGATTCCTCAACTAGATTCCTTTTTTATACGAGTCTAATACCGGCGGGCACATATCCCATCATGCCCCACATGCAATTGTAAATAGAAGGACCACAACAGGCAACCAACGAGCACCAAACCCAAATATACAGATGGGAAACACAAGGTTGTCAGACGCCTAACTGCAAGATGCACACAAGGTAGAAGGTTTACGCACGCTAAATACACGGGAGGATCTGACCGGGTATACACAAGAAATGGGAAAACACCATTAACATTAACAACAACAACAATACAAGTGTTAAGGACTGTTAATAAAGAGCGTGATTTCCCCAGCAAGCAAGTCTCCATGTCTCTCTCTGCTCCTGCGATGCCTCGGTCCGACCATAAAATTAATTAACAAAAATTATTATTTTGCAGACTTGTGAACGAATTAATCAAATTTCAATGCTTTCTTATAGGAAAAATTGACTTGGTTCACGTACAAATTGGTCACGACCACTTTCCTGGAATGGATTGTGTGTGAACCACAGGCATCACTGTATCATGCTAATTTTTAATACATGAATATGAAAGATGTAGAGCATAAACAGAGGCAACATGTCTCTAAACATATACAATGAGGAATCATACTGACAAGAAAGACAATGTGGGCATAGAGATGGATGCCAAGCTGGATGCCGTTGACGATCTTCTCCCGTGCCCAGCGTGGAATCCCAAAGTTGGCGATCAGAGCCGTCACAGGCACCGCAAAGAACCTGCAGTGTGGTGAGGAGAGACAAGAGAGCCCAGTCAGGGAGGCGCAACTGTGCAACCGGCGAGCCGAGCTGCCGACTCAGGACAGCACACACGTGCTGCAGGTCTCCTAAATTCAAGCTAAACTAGGCAGAGTGCTGCCCGTTTAGGCCTGGTGTGTCTGCAAATCCGAAAGAGCACCCCCTCCAGGTCAGCATCCAAAAGAGCAGCCCCGAATCAGAACTGAGCTCTCAGGGTGGTGGGATGGTGCGTCTCACCAGAGCGTGTATGCAGTGAAGAACGGGATGTAGAAGGGCTGCTTCTCGGGGTAGTGCTTGAGGGACACCAGCACGGCGTAACAGAACCACACGTAGGCCAGCAGCTGCAGGCCCATCAGGCCGTAGCCAGCCGGGCTGTCGTATGCATACAGAACCCAGCCCGGGTCAAAGAACTGCGGAGACAGAGAGCTGCTTCAGCGAGCAGGTACTGGCTGACGGGGGGTTGCTGTACTGGTGCACGGGACCGGGGAGCAGGCCTATGTGCATTCCCAGGGCAAGGACAGCGTCCTGGCCAAATAAGGAACACCCTCGCCCAGACGGAACCAGCCCCTAATGTGTTCTCTGCCCCCCACACCCCCCAACAGAGACCGGCTCCTAATGTGTCCCCCCCACGCATGCCAGCAGGGACCGGCCCCTAATGTGCTACCACCCCTGCCAACAGGGACCAGCCCCTAATGTACCCCCCATGTGCAGAGACCAGCCCGTAATGTGCCCCCCACCCCGGACGGGATTACCTCGGCCTCATAAATGAACAGGATGACGTAGGTGATGGTGTAGACAGTCATGTAGATGGACAGCTTGACAGAGCCGCTGTGGCTGATCCTCGCTCTGGCACAGAGCATCGTACAGCTTTCGGTTTGACATGTTTTTATACGGAGTCTTTGCCAATAAAACTCAAACAACAGTAATGCACAAGAATAGCATTTCCAGCTAGCAATAACATTTCAGACAGATCCAAAAGCATTTAAAGGTCAGAGTAGAAAGTATCAGTAGACAAACAGAGGACAGGGAAAAGGAACTGGCTATTTAGGTAGAACAGAGAGACACCTTCAAGCGGCTGAGTCCAACTGAAGAGCACATTTCCAAAACTCACTCAGTACACGGCATTCTTTATACATTCCTGCAGTTCTGTAGACTTACTGAGCTTTGCAAATTTAACGAAAGTTCTTCATTGAATTACATGAGTGAGTACCGATTCTCAATACTGTAAGATGAGGAGTTAGCCTGACATTGGTGGTCTCTTCTCATAAACAACAGAAAATGCTCGGAGTACATCCATCCATCTATTATTTTCTGGCAGCAGTATGAGCGGGGAACCCAGACTTCCCAGCCACCACCTCCTGGGGAATATAAAAATGTTTCCAGGCCAGTCAAGAGATATAATCTCTCCAGTGTGTCCTGGGTCTGCCCTGGGTTCTCCTCCTGGTTGAACATGTCTGAAACACCTACTCAGGGATCCCTCCTGGAGGCATAGATAGATACCCGAACCACCTCAGCTGGCTCCTTTTGATGCGGAGGAGCAGCAAAGCTCAAGGGTAAGCACCTGCTGGGTGGGCCTCTACCCATGGGGCCTGGACAAGCATGGCCCAAAAGAAGAACAGGGGTCTGCCCTCCTATGGACCCTCCACCTGCAATAGGGGGCATGGGCGTTGGCTGCAGTATAGATCAGGCGACACTCGAAGGCAGGGGCCTCGGCAACCAAATCTGGCTTTAGGAACATGGACTGAGAGAGTTTTGAAATATTACTATTCAGTTGGCTGCCCCTCCATAGCACAAGTTGTCTAGAACAGTGGTTCACATTAGGGCTGCCATTAACGACTATTTTTCTATAGGTTAATCTATTTTATTAAATCGGTCGATTAATCTAAATGATTAATATTCCTCCAGTTAACTTGACTGTTAAATTGACAAATTGTATGCCATTGCAGGGCTTTAGATAATGTATACCGGTTTTTCGGCAGTATACAGACATTATTTTCAGCTACAATTCAATAAGCAGATTAGTTTGCCTAAAAATATTAATGAGATGTAATGCCCGAAAGTTAGTAATCTGTATAAATGTGGCGTATCCTCATGCTTAACCCTCTTATTGTGTTCATTTCATGTTAGACAATTTTGTGTTCCTGGTCAAACATGACCGTTCCATTAATAAATTCGGGGTTAAATAAGGTGGTGTGGCGGTACTGATTGCAGATTGAAGTGCAGCACATCGTTTTTGTTTTTTGTTTTTTGCAAATATTGTTTTCATCTTTACTTCACATCATGAATCCTTCAGATCATTTCTTTTATTTAGAGTCAATTTTTGTTTCAGTCTTAGTGTATGGTGACAATGCTGGTCCCAAGAAGTCCAATGTACACCAAGGCACACACTGGCACCATCAGTCAATGTAGAATATGCCCAGATTTTAGGCTAAACATATTCAGAAACACTTATTCAATGAATAGACAGCACTTGGAGTTGTTTTGCCTATTCTGGTGGTCCATCATCCACAATTGCGCCTGTGCGTTTCCTCTTCAACAAGTGCTCGTGCATAGCACTTGTGCTGCTGTGGTACACCATCACACTTTGCACAGTGTGAAACCACCTTTTTGTTTAGTTTATAATTTGAACTACTCTCAAAATTACGTAGTGATATTTTTAGAAATAATAAAGGTAACTTTAAAATAATAAAAAAACAATTAAAAATATTGATGTTGACCCATTTTCAATGTCGACATAATTGACTGTTGCCTAATGCCACCTTTTTTTAATTCAGGAACCCCGTGTCTATGAAAGCATGTTTGAGCCCCTCTACACAGGTTATGACGTTGTTTCTCTTGTACAAAATCTGCAATGATGAGAAAAATTACTGTTGTTTATTAATATAAACAATTTAATTTGGTTACACTGCCAAACAATGTAATTTCTTTTGAACATGACGCAAACGAGTTTTTTTCCCCCCAAGTTTATGATATTACTCTCATAAGAGCAGGTAAATGTTTATGAACAAAAAAACTAAATCTAAAGCCAATATGTCAAAAGTCTATAAAATCAGGAACCTTTATGATCTTTTTACAATGTTTTAAAATGAAATTAATGAAGTAAAAATGATTCCACGTTTTTCCCCTCCATCAGCTTCCCTGTGATGCACCGCTAACTGGATTGTTTAATTTTAGTTGTGGATTCTGGGATGCTGTGTAACGTCACAATCAAAGCTTTTACTCTGTCTACAACCAGTAAGGGATACTATTGGACTCTATTAAAAATCTTCAATAAAGCCCTAATTATAACACACAGTTAAAGTGTATCGATATAAATGGTAATGTCATCCTATATCTCATTTAGAAAAAATATTGAGATATAGTAAAAATTCGCCAAGCCCTAGCTTTTTCAACACTTTTCAAATAAATTGCATGCCTCCCCAGTGGGTCACAGCCCACCAGTTGAGAATCACTGGTCTAGAAACTTGTGTGTTGTTTGAGGAAAATTTGGAGTTTGTCGGTTCACACAAACACCGGACACCAAGATAAATTAGATTTTAAGAGTTAGCCTAACTGGCGACTAATATATGGGTTACCCAACAAAATAAACTCGTGTGACCTTGAGAGCCCTGCTGTAATCCAGTTCTCACCTGGTCACAGTGAATCCTTTTCCCAGCAGAATCAGCATCAGGAGGAAGACCAGGAAACTGACAGAGAATAGTAATTTCCCTGGAGAGGCACGAGAGAGAGGGGTGGAGAATTTACAGTAAGTAGGCCACAGCATGCGACTCTAGGAGACCACACAGGGACCATGAAAGCAGGTCTCTCTCACACACACACACACACACACACACACACATTTCCCTGGCTCTCAGACTCACCCAGTATCTTCAGGCTTCCGTTCCCCACTCCATTTTTGGCATAAAGCCCCCAGTAAGTGCAGAAGAACAGGAGGCTAAGGACTGAGAGACACATGGAGTAGTGAGGATTGATTGAGAGCTTTCGATACATTCTTCATTGTGTCATGTCATACCCTTTAAGCTGTCTCTGTCTAACGTCTGGAAGCTAAGCAGGGGGCACTAGAGTGCAGTGCAACTCATATGGATGAGCTGGGACTGCCCATGGAGAATGAGAAACACTGGGTGTTTCTTAACATACTTGACCATACTTTTTTTTTCATGTACCTGTTTAAGTCACCTTCCATTGCCGAAGGCCAGTTACAATACTAAACAGAAGTAAAGAGGATGGTAAAAATCCTCAGATGTCATTCTTGCCCCATCCCAAATATCAAGGATACATCGATTGCATCCTCGCAAACAAGAACAATCCCATGATTCATTGTGCCCGAAGTTCATTCTTGGGAGGGAAGTTCGCAAAACCGGTCTTGCCAAGACCACAAGTACGATCTTTGCGTTTTTTGGTATTGAGAAACACCCCCTGGCTCTTCTAAAGCAGCCCCTCCGAGAGCCATGGGGGGCCTCACCTTCCACTCCAGCGGCCGTCATAAACATCTTGTAGGTGGTGTGGAGAAGCTGTCGTCCCTTCAGAGTGTCTAGTGGAGGAAGATTTCCATTCATCCCTTTTAAATCATCCCTCCTTCATTCATGATTGTGACCCAGAGCAGAGTCACAGACTCTCTCAATCCATTTACTCTGAAGTAGCTGTTAATTTCTGTCATCTACAGCTGCTAGAATATCGCAGTGACAGTTCATGTTAGAAAAAAAAGCATAACACTTAGGAACAGTTATTTGTCATTGAATCACTTCATGTCAGTGTTAGCTTTGACAATATTGAAAATTAAATAGTAAATAATAACACTGATGACTAATATTTAATCACATTTCAGGCAGGGGGGAGAAGGCAGAAAGGATGGGGAGAGTCAGGAATAATCGTAAGACTCACAAGCGAAGTAGCAAGAGAGAGAGAAAACAATGGCGAAGATGACGAGGAAAGTGATGTCCGTCTCCAGGATACCTAACACAGGGGAAAATTAATTAAAATAATGAGACCTCCCTCCCTAGCTCACAGGATTTTACCTTCACAGGCCCACCCTGTGCTCCGCCCCCTCCCATCCTCCTCACCAAACTCATCTGCTGAGAAATGCTGGGTCCAGAAAGACTGCCCATTGGTCAGCTTCATCTCATATTCCAGCTGTAGGCCATCTCCCTGTGGGGGGGGGGGGGGACAGAGGGAGAGGAAGAGAGAAAGAGGAACATGGGGAAGGGGACAGAGGGAGAGAATAGAAAAGAAAAAGAGAAAAGAAGGAGACAAATAAGGAGACAGAAAGAGAGGGAGGGAGCAAAATGGGCAAAGATAAGAGATAGAGAAAGAATAAGAGGAGATGAAAGAAAGATGTAGAGAGGTGAAGAAAAGGGAGAATGAGGAAGAAAGTGATACAGGGACAAGGAGAAAGAGAGGAAGCGGGAATGGTGATGGAGACAGTGAGCAGGGGCACGGAGTGTTACAGAATATAGAGATTCACAGAGGTCAGTGCCAATAAGAGGCACACAGCCCACCCTCTCTGCTGCAGTCTGCTGCTTCACAAACAAAAGCCTCCTGTATTCACTCTGGCAATGCGGACATTCCCTTCACTCCATCAGACAGCGGCCCGGGCCAGAATCGCCGTGTTGCGACAGCGCTGGCCAGCGCTGGGTGAGCAGGCAGGCGCTCCGTGCTGCCAGCAACGCTGGAACACACCCAGGGGGCTCAACACTGCCACGATTGCCAGGGAACGGGGGCAGAGGCTAAGAGGAAGAACACTTCAGTGGGCACATCCAGCAGGCATGAGTGCAGGGAGTCTCCCAGGAAAAAGACTGCTCTTACTTTTTGGGGGAGGGGGAGATCGACTTGGCTTAATACAGCCAATCACTACATCAAGACCAGATACGGCACGAGTCTCTTTCCTGCTCCTCCCCAGTGACCCCGGCAGTACTCACCCCACACTTGCTAAGCGCGATGTACCACCACCTCTCCCGGACGCTGCGGAAGCTCCGCCCACCCGCACAGCTGAGGGTTTCATTCCCAGCCTCACCCTCCACCTGGCAAAAGGACAGACAGGGCAGGCACCTGGCTGCACATCATCAGGGGCATGCGGGTTTGCCAAGGCCACGAGCCAGATGGAGATGCAGGCCATCTGGGCAGCGAATCCTAGTGAGTCCCCCCCTATGCCAAGGATGACCGTAACACTGAAAGGCTCCCAAGAAAAGTATCTCTTTCACACTGACCTTTTCCTCAACGGTGGTCAAATGATAATAGAGACATCGGTTCACTTCAGACTTCATGGAGCATGCTGACATACCGAATCACCAAGGTAAAGCTGCAAATACCAAGCAGGACTTACCACGTAGCCCAACTGGGTGTAGCAAGTGCTCAGGATGTACCACACAACCCAACTGGGTGTAGCGAGTACTGAGGACTTACCACACAGCCAGACTAGGTGTAGCGAATTTTGAGGACTTACCACACAGCCTGACCAGGTGTACAGAGTGTTCGGGAATTACTACACAGCCCAACCGTGTGTAGCGAGTGCTCGGGACTTACCACACAGCCCGACCAGGTGTAGTGAGTGCTCAGGTTGATTACTTGGTTGTTTTCTGGCCTGAGAACTGCCTCTTTCTGGTAACAGTCCTGTAATTAAACATTGTTTTAATCTCATGTGGATGTTTTCTTATTTTATCTCTGTGTAGTGACACACTTTTGCCGCTCTCCTGCACCACTAGGTTTCTACAATGCAAAGATGCCTCTGACAAGGGGACAGGAGACACTTTAATATTGGGGGGGGGGGGGGGGGAGACAAGCCCACACCCCTGCCTTCTGACCTTGTCGGGTCTCTTGTAGACGGCTGGCCACTGAGAATTGTCATCGAAGTAAAGGAGGATGTTCTGGCAGCAGCGGGACTGTTGGGAACAACAGGAGGCAGTAAGCAGGGGCGGCCACTTTGGGCTTAATCGGATAAACTAGGACACAGGATTTAAAAAAAGCATCTAGAGAAATGAAGTGCAGGAAGTCGGGCAAAAAGGAAAGAGGGAATGATGGGAAAGAAGTACAAACAGGCAGTGATGAGGGATGACAGAACCCGAGATACTGACAGAGGTGGACTAAAGGAGAACTGAATGAAAGGAGAACTCAGGCAGAAGGTGGATGACAGACACCGTGAGGCAGGACAGCAGTCCAAACAAACCCAGATGGCCTCTCGGCACACCCCCTACCTTCGGGTAACGGAAGCGGAAGTCCAGTCTTCCAAAATCGGTGAGAAAACAGAACCTTGTAAGGAAAACCCAATCCTGATAGGAGAGAGAGAGAAATGGGGGGGGGCAGAGGATCTCTTATGTAAAGACTGCACCTGGATATAATAGTGGACACTACAATGCACAGCAGAGACTCACAGACAAAGCACAGCAACACAGCAGCCTGCGCGGTTAATGAACTGAGGATTTTGCACAGCCCTAGATCTCAGGACATTAATGATGTCTGCTAAACTCTAATTCAGGCCTGGACACTATCAGCATTAGGAGAACACCAACCTGTAGGGCATACAAACGCTCTGCTGCAACAAGACCTCTGCAGTGCCATGGCAACTGCCGCTTAGTTTGCAGCTGTCATGGAAACCATAGGAGGCCTCCCTCCTTCCGGCATGTTCTGGGCTTAGGGCTAGTCAGCGCCGGGACTGGCGGTAAAGAAAGCCTGCGGGCGAGAGGCCCATGCCCCACTTTCTGGCGACGATCTCCTGGCTTCCCTCAGACTGCCCGAGGCTTCTCTCTAGCACCTCTTAACAGGCCAATGGCAGAGCCGCGTTAATCAAGAGCCACGTCAATAAAGCATCCGGTCACATTAAGAGTAAGTCACACCCCTCAGCCTTCCACAAGCAGGCACGCATACCTCTCCACCAGGCCTCATTACGAATTAATCACCAATCTACTAGTCAGTCAGCCAAGGATGGCTGTGTCTTTAATGATTCATTATTCCAGTTACATGGAGGTGTACACAAAAATGTACTATCCCTCTAAGTGCCCTTGGCAGGATCCAAATGCCTGGGCATCACCCTCCTGCCTATCCTGAGCTGGCCACTGTGTTAGCAAATGGTATTTTAAAAAGAGAGATCAATTAGTTACCTGCTTTGTGCACAGCAAAGGAGTAGGCTCAGATAACACTTATATCCACACTTATCTGCTTTAACAGGTAAAAAGTTCATTTCACTGGCACATCTTGCATTTTTTATAAATTACAGCAGGATACAAATACAAGACTCTTCTCTTCCTGAAGAACTTCATACAAAGTCAGAAAGAGGCTGAACCTGCATTAATTCCCGCTTAAAATAATGATTTGATATTGTCAGAAAAAAAGCAATGTTACAGAAGCAAACATACAAAGAATAATTATATGGACAAATAACAGTATTATAAAAATATGTGAAAGCCCATTTAGAAATGTTTTCTAAAATGTCTATATATTGCTGTCAGAAAATCAGAGCACTAATTAAGTCATATATTTAAAAGACTACAGGCTTTGGAAAAGGGGGGACATTCCGCTAATAAAAAAGAGGAATATTGCGTTCGGATATTTTGGCGCAACTAAACCAGTTAAAAAAAAAATCGTTGGTAAAGTGACATGTTTAAAAAGGGGACAGATCGGCGACCCGATTTGATTCACAGAAAAATGCGAAGCTGCGTTTTAGTTAGTGATTGCATGACCGGTTAATGGCTCCTTGTCTAGCTGCCAGTTAACTGGTTACGATCAAGACAGACTAGATCAAAAATGACAAATGACAAAATAACACGCGTGTTGCTACGTGACGAAACCACGGCGCGCATCGGCTATACGATTGAAAACGGAAGCCAAATAAAGGGGTTTTATTCATATGGAGTTTCAGAAAGCATGCTTGGATCTCTCTGACCGCATCGGCGGCTGCCACATATGCAGGATAGACAGCGACAGATAAACACACACACGGCACGGTCATACTGATGCGCTTGTTTGCAGGGGGTTCACATGCAAATAAACAAATAAATATAAATAAAAGTAATTAATACGCACGCAGAATTAAAACAGTACCCCCATTTTAGAGTGCCCAAGACTAGGCAATCATGCAAACAATCAATGCACAAGGGGTGCGCGATTGCAACACCGATCGGCCAAACATAGCACGCATATATGTGAACGGATATCAATAGACAATTAATGTAGGGCTAACCTCTTTTGTATTGACGATTCCTCTGACGTACTTTCCCAGCACAGTAGCGACACTCAAAACACTCGATACCACAGCCAACTTAAGCACTCTTTCGCACACCTCCATTTTTACCCTTCTCTCTCTACCTCTCCTGTCGCTCCTAGGCTAGTCTACCTCTAAGTTAGCAGGGAGAAAAAAAACAGTTTGTGGTGAAGGGATAGGAAGCTGGAAGACGGCGGAAGCGCGCACCCGTCCTCCGCCAAAGCATGTGCCCCCAATAGTTTTGACGAGAGCGCGCTCGCATAAGAATACGCGCCCCCGATACCTTTATTCCTCCTCACTGAGCAAGCGGGAAGCGCGTCCCCGGGCCAAGATTGCGACACATACGGACAATATTCATCTCTGTCACAGATGGCAAGAATGAACCATAAATTTATACATATATTAACTTTTTAGTATTCAATATTCAATGCTATAGTACCAGGTTTACAGCAAATGGCTGCAGTAACATTCATACAGCGATCAGCCATAACATTAAAACCACTGACAGGTGAAGTGAATAATATTATTTCCTTACAATGGCAGCTGTCAATGGTGCCATTACATACTACGCCTACAGTCAGTTCTTGAAAGTGATGTGTTGGAAACTGGAAAAATGGGCATGTGTAGGGATCTCAGCAATTGTGATATGGGTCCAATTGTGATAGCTAGACAACTGGGTCAGAGTATCTCCAAAACAACAGGTCTTATGTTGTCTTCTTGGTATGCAGTGGGCAGTACCTACCAAAAGTGTTCCAAAGAAGGCCAGTCGATGAACCAGTGACGGGGTAATGGGCACCCAAGGCTGATTGATGCACATGGGGAGCAAAGGTTAACCTGTCTGATCCGACCCCACAGTAGAGCTACTGTAGCACAAATTGCTGGCTATGACAGAAAGATACCAGAACACGCAGTGCATCACAGCTTGCTGAGTCATGTTTTCTGTCCCATGTGGATGGCCGGGTGTTTGTGCCATTTACCTAAGGAAGAGATGGCACCAGGATGCACTATGGGAGGAAGGCAAGCCAGCAGAAGCAATGTGATGCACTGGGCAATGTTCTGTTGGGGAACCTTGGGTCCTGGCATTCATATGGATGTTACTTTGACAGGTACCACCTACCTAAACATTTTGCAGACCAAGTACACCCCTTTACAGCAATGGTATTCCCCGATAGCAGTGGTCTGTTTCAGCAGATAATGCGCACTGCCACACTGCAAAAATTGTTCAGGAATGCTTTGAGGAACATGCAAAAGAGTTCAAGGTGTTGATTTGGCCTCCAAATTCCCCAGATCTTAATCTGATCGAGCAGCTGTGGGATGTGCTGGACAAACATATCCGATCCATGGAGGCCCCACCTCATAACATACAAGACTTGAAGGATCTGCTGCTAATGTTTTGGTACCAGATACCAATGGACATTTTCAGAGGTCTTGTGGAGTCCTAGCCTCGAGGGGTCAGAGATGTTTTGGCAGCATGAATGGGACCTATGCAATATTAGGCAGGGGGTTTTAATGTTGCGGCTGATCAGCGTATACTCACAAGTAAAGGCAGTAACTGAAGATCTAGTATAAGTACAGTATTAGCCATATCCTCCTGAGACCCAAGGAAAAAAGTGTCCTTCAATTGTAGATTATTTGTCTTTGGAGGAAATAAGACATCTTACAATTTAGATTTTTTCAAATTTATTCTTATTTTAATTTCACAGCATGTTCTCTTTAGTGTACAACAAGAATAAATATGTTTCCCAACATCAGTGAAAAAATAAATGCAAAAATACAATGTCCACTACAATGGACATAAATGAATAGCTCGGGTCTCAGGAGGATATTCTGGCACCACAAATAACAATGCTGACCACAGTTACTGTTGAATTTATGAGTGTATTATATAATTCACATTCAAATTATTTTGGAAGAAAAAATTAGTGAGAACATGAATTGTTATAGGTGGAAATTAGGAGAACATTTTAAACTGGATTTGAGAAAGCACCTTGCACAGCGTGTAGTTAGAGTATGGAATAGTTTTCCTTTTAGTGTATTGCAAGTTAAAACCTTGGGTTCCTTTAAATCAGAGCTAGATTACATTTTAACAACTTTAAGCTATTAGTTGAGTTCTCCCCAAACAAGCTTAAGGGGCCAAATGACCTCTCGTTTGTAATTTTTTTATGTTCTTATCGTAATGTGTGTGGGATAACAGCTCAGGGAAAAAAAGCAAGTTTGAAAAACATAAAATTGTCAAAGGGGAATATGTTGGATATTTTTATTTAAAAAATACAGCAATAAAATCATAATGTTTGGTGTATATAAGTTTGTATCTTATAATCTCCGGCATTTGACCAGTCCTGAAAAATCCATTATATTTAACAATAAAAGCAATGACAACATAAGGATGATTACATAAAACGAAGTTAACATTCTACAGAATTTGTATCTAAAAAATACATTTGTTTTAACGCATATTTGCACTTGAGGTGGTTTTAGAGTAAAAGCAAAGTGTTTTCTCTCTCTCTGTCTTTATGGTTTGTGGTGGTTTATAATGTTATTGTTCAAGTTTTGTTTTGTGTCTAAAAGCAAGCATATACGTTTGGTTTCAACACTGGTAGGGACTAAATCAGCCCCGAGCCCCCCACCCCCCAAACACACACAGTACACCCACAGTCATGTCAGGGACTTGTCCCTACTGTCCATACCCTAATCCATGCCCTTATCTTAAAGTGTCAGCTTATTGAATGGAAGATAAACTGCTTCATTTTAACCTATAACCATGACATTATGAAAAAAAATGAAATAATCTTTATGGATAAACCTTCCCCCCCCCATTATCCCTTTTTGCTAGACAACAGCTAAATAATTGGGGAAGAGTGACAGTAAGCGTAGATAAACATCGACACCATTAAATGAAAACAAATTAATAATCATCATTCATTTACTAAAAAATGCTAGATCGATTCAGCAATAATGCAATATTAGCATCCTGTAAATTAATTATGCTACAAGATGCCACAGATACGTAAATTTAAAGTGTTCACTATATTCCAGTTAATTATTGGTTCGGATCGTTAGCATGCATTATTCAAAGGTTTATAAAATATACTTAAGTATCATATGAAGTTATATTCATATTCATCTTTTTCACATCCATCCAGACTTAATGGAAGATGATATTTAATTTGCTTCCTAATGACAACTTATCCATCTGAAATCTTTCTTCTGAAAGGTGAAACTTCACCAGCGCAAAGGGACTCAAGTAAAATGTGTGAGGTTGTCAGTTTTGCCCACAAGGGGGCACTGTGAAGGTACATGGCCTCAAGGGGTAGATATCTGAAGCTTAAGTGGTAATGAGAGAGGTGTGCTGCTCATGCCCTTGGTGCCATGGGCCTTGCCGAGGCAGGGACCTGCCCTTATCTTACAGCTACTGTAATAAACCCAAACCAGCTTTTTCTTAGATTTATTGCAATTGCCCCTTATTAAAGAGGACAAAAAGTGAAAACCGCACAAAAACCGCATACCTATTTAGCAGCTAGAAGCAAACAAACACACGACACATCGCTCCCTGTCAACTCGCACAGTTCTGGAAAGGCATTTGGCGGAACTGGGGCCGACCCGCTAATCAATATCACACTTCACGGCAGACCCTGGTAAAGTGCAGAGCAATTACAAAACTTACACAATCACGGTAAACTTAACACAGAACACACACAAGACAGACCGTTCCCCCCCCCCCCCCAAGTCTCTGGACCACTTGAGGCCCACTGAAATCTGCAATGCAAATGGCAGTTCCTCTCCCTCGACGTTCATCACTCCCACTCAACCAAGTCACTCCAGATCATAGCAAAGTCAACCATCTCAAAAACACCATATCCTTTTAGGTGTATAATTGATAAACACAGGTAACTAAATGCAATGGAGTGTAACTCATTAATAGAGATGAGGTATAAAAATCAGGGCCTTATTAACTCACATGCTCTAGATCATGGTCAGAGAAGGTGGTTGTAGCATTTAGGGATTTGCTCAAATTAAGCTCTGAGCCGTCGTCAAGACCGGAGAGACCTGCATAAATGGGTCGATGTCACCCGGGCCGCCTGGGAATGCAGGTTCTGCACAGGAAATCTGTCACCCCAACACACTGTTGTGAGTTTAACATACCCTGATGATCTTACTCCGACGATACACTTGATTCTGCCAAACTGTTATGGTTCATAAAAAAAAATAACAGTAAACTGACAAATCTCCCCTCCACAAAATGAAAGCAATAACTACATTCCTATAACAACACATTAATGAAATAAATGGAATACTATTAAAGAACTGAATGCATACAGTTTCTGGATATAATTTTTTTGTTGTTGTAAAAACACTGCATTTCCAGTTGCAATTACCCAGCCCTCCCGTTATGGTTTCTGCTCTTGAGCTGGTCATTTGGATCTGCAGTTAATGAGCTTGAGCGCATAAGGCAACATGCGTGACGAGAAGACACTTCCTCCAGATCTCGCTGTGCGTGCCGATGGCATCTGTGTGCCCCCCCCCCCCCCAAGCCTGTTACTTTGACTTCTCTGCAGCGAAGCGGTCATCTGTCCTTTGCAGTGTGACACCACATTTGGCGCCAAAGCGGCTCAGAGCCGGGGTGTGTGGGCACATCTGCGTGCCGCACCTGGTGCTTGTGCTTGTGTGGGTGAGAATGATACCTGCCTATAGTGTGAGCATATTTGCAGATTAAATGGATGCCATGGCAAACTCAGTGGATTCACGCGCAGTCGGCGTGCATCCTCTCGTGCAGTGACGGCGCTCGGGAGCTTGGCCCCTGTATTCCTGGTCAAGGCAGTCTGAGAATGGGCTCCTGTGCTTTCTCTTCAGTTTTACTACCTCACCTGTTCCTCTCCCTCTCCTGCTCCCCCCACCTCCATGCTCCTCCCACACAGTGCTCCGCTCTGCTCCTCCCTTCTATGCCCCCATCTCCCCACACTAAGAATTCCTCTGTTTGTCAGCCTCCTCCACCCCTGTTTCGGGTGCTCCCCCAGTAGATGATTCCTCCTCCTGGATGATCCCCACCGGCAATCTAGCGGCTCCACCTATGGGAGTCGCAGCACCCTGATTGGTCCTCTGGAGCTTCCGGTGCCTGCGATTGGCCGGAGGTGGGGCCTGGTGGACGAAGACTTCCCGTATTTGCTCCACGCAGACGTTGGTGGCCTCTCGTGTCTCCCTGGAGAGCTGAGACAGACTGAGGAAGCCGTGAGGAAGGTCCTCAACCACACACAGGGTCACCGGCTGCTCTATATTCCTCAGTCTCTTGGCGAACATGACGGAGTCATCTAACATGGGGTCCAGGGCGCAGGCCTGAGAGCCAGCAGGAATGGGAGACATAGGAAGGAGGTAGTGAGAAGGATGTTTTAAAAGACAGGGACATGTTAAGTAAACAGTACCAAAAGACAGATTATTAGCTAAGGGAAGTAGGAGCCAAGACATCAGTATAAACAAGAAAGAGTTACAGGGGTGAGGATCAGGGTGTGGAGGAGCCCTCACCACTATGTGGATGGGTGGGAGGCCTCTCAGCATGCTGTCTGGTGCCAACAGGGGGGACATGTAGGGATTGCGGACGATGGGAGAGCTCTGCATCCTCATCTCAGCCAGCCGTTCCGAGCGGAGCGGCTCGAAGCCCTCAGGGAATTCCCGGGAATACGGCTCGCCTGGGCTCTCCTGGCCACCGGGGGGCAGGGACACCAGGCCCATGCCAAACTGCTCGTCCTCCGCAGTGAGGAAGAAGCTGACGTCCTTGATCTGGGGTGGGGTGGGGGGGGCGGTGGTTGAGTGAGAACACAGAATTATGTATGGCAGCAGGACACAGCCTCCATACTCTCTGAGTGACACATGAAGGGCACAGCACAACGCCAGCGAGACCCAGAGAATCATCAGTTCCACTGTGTCTAATTGGCCTGGTCAAGGTTGAGCTTTAGAGATGGCGCAGGGACACGTTACCCCATGCTCTGAGGGCAGGGATGGGCTGCGGTCTCTGTGGGAGCTCAGGTCCAGGCAGGTCTGGCTCTTCAGCGACTCCTGGCGCAGGGAGATTTGCGCGGGGTCTGAGTACGGGGAGCTGATGCTGGCCTCCGAGACGCTCTTCCTCATCGTGTCTGAAGCGGGGTGGGGGGCGGGGGGGGGGTTGGTTAACAGGGGGGCAAATCAGGCTTTTGGGACAGAGATGGAGGGGGAATGAAGAGAAAGGAGCATTCTGGGATGCACAGATACACAAGCAAAATAGCGCTGCTCCAGGGAACAGAAGCAATCAATAAGGCATGAGAAAGTCACATTCACAAATACAATGGGGGGGAGGGAGGGAGCAGACTCACAGGTGGTCAGCAGGAAACAGACGAGGAACCAAGCAGAGAGAGATGCTCAGAAGCTCAGACAAACATCGACGCATACAAAACCTGACAAGGGCAGAGAATGCTAAGAATCACTCAATCTTAGCATGGCACCCAACATGGTAAGCTAAAGACATGAAGATGACATTACCATAAACGGACAGAAGGGGGCCCCACACTACAACAGGACAGCACAGGACAAATGTGGAACCTATGGCTTGCTGAATCACACAAGCAGGGTGACACCAAGCACTGGGGATGATAGGGACAGGCTGGACAACATAGTGTCATAGCAACAAAACTGTAGATGACACGGAAGAGGTGCTGGAATCTATTACTGAGACCCAGGTTTGTGCTGACAGATCATCTCATCAGAGCGACAGGTCCAATCGATATAACTGCAGACAGCTACAAAGTCACGCAATAATAGCGAGAACAGTCTGCCTTTCAGAATTACCACATCTGTGTATGCAAAAATAAAACAGATCCTAATTTGCATACTAATGATGCATGTCAGCTATTCTAATTCTAATTGCAGGTTTGGGCTAAAGTATTAAACTGTAACTAAGAAGTAGCTAAAGCTTTAACCAGCTCTATTAAAACATTAAATAAGTTTAAATCAGGCGAATGACCAAAAGAGAATAATCATTGTTAATTGTTATCATGCAAAATATCTTCCACTGTCCAAATTCCTTCCTTATGTGGCATGCTGATCAGCTGGGTGGCTGATTATGCAATCATTTAAGTGTTTATGTTAATAAAATATGTTTAGCAATGTGTTACAGAAGATGTTTTTTTATTAATTTGTTATTATGCCTCGCCATCCATCCTGCGGCTGTGTGTCTATTAATCCTGCCATCGTGCATCAAGCACCACGTGCCTGCACCGGTCGGCCGCTGCATTGAGACATATATTTCAACCCCTGTATTAGCTTAGTCATTTCATCTTGTCTGTATTAGCTTAGTCATTTCATCTTGTTTGTTTGACTCATCTGCCGGCCCCTGGAGGATGGGCTCCCCCTTTGGGTCTGGTTCCTCCCAAGGTTTCTTCCTCTTAGGGAGTTTTTCCTTGCCACCGTTGCCTTTGGCTTACTCAATGGGGGGTCCTTACGAGGCAGAAATGTAAAGCGCATTGAGACAATGTAATGTTGTGATAATGCGCTATATAAATAAAATTGAATTGAATTGAATTAATTATTATAAAAAGGTTTACATTTAGCCTGACAGTATAACTGACTTGTTTTAATATAGCTGATCCAGCAGGCTTTATTAGATTATTGATGATGTATAGTTCTGGGGTACTGCGAGAGCCTCGCCATCCCTGCCTCTTAGCTGCCCTGCTGCGAGAGCCTCGCCATCCCTGCCTCTATTCTGCTCTGCTGTCCTGCTGCCAGAGCCTCGTCATCCCTGCCTCTTCGCTGCCCTGCTGCAATAACCTCGCCATCCCTGCCTCTTAGCTGCCCTAATGCGAGAGCCTCGCCATCCCTCACTCTATTCTGTTCTGCTGTCCTGCTGCCAGAGCCTCGTCATCCCTGCCTCTTCGCTGCCCTGCTGCGATAACCTCGCCATCCCTGCCTCTTCGCTGCCCTGCTGCGATAACCTCGCCATCCCTGCCTCTTAGCTGCCCTGCTGCCAGAGCCTCGTCATCCCTGCCTCTTCATTGCCCTTCTGCGATAACCTCGCCATCCCTGCCTCTTAGCTGCTCTGCTGTCCTGCTGCCAGAGCCTTGCCATCCCTGCCTCTTATCTGCTCTGCTGCAAGAGCCTCGCCATCCCTGCCTCTATTCTGCTCTGCTGTCCTGCTGCCAGAGCCTCATCATCCCTGCCTCTTCACTGCCCTTCTGCGATAACCTCGCCATCCCTGCCTCTTAGCTGCTCTGCTGTCCTGCTGACCCAGCTCTCCTACGTTTGAATTTAGCCACAATTATACCACTGAGAATAACAGCTAAGAGAAGCTGTTCCTGGTCTGGAGAAGGGGGTGACTTTACGATATTTGTGAAGGACTGGTTGCTAGTTAGTGGACCCACAAGTGCCTACATGCCCCCCACCCCAATTAAGTGAGGAATTAAGTGTTTTGTTAGGTACAGTCACCAGTCCTGTGGAACAGCATCTGCACTGCTAAAGACCATATGCTGCTGACGGCTGAACTGAACTGCTACAGGCCAAGGCGCATGCTAAAGATTAACTACCTGCCTAAAGGCTAGCATGTGCATTGCTGAAGCATAATGGATGAACTGTACTGTCAGTGTTGTTACTATAGCTAACTGCTCAGGCACAGTTAGGCCCACAGTGTGAGTTGCAGAGCTGGGTGGGGACTGAACTGTCAGTGTAGATACGCTAGCTTCACACTCCCTTATGGTATTGGAGTGCTGATGTTTCAGGGACTCCCCATGCCTGGTTCTCGCTTGCCTCTCCCTCCTACTTACGCTGCCATAGCCATATCTGCTGGAGCTTACATACCGGACTCACCTAACTGTCTGCACTGCCTCTAGTCTCCACTACTTTGGTTAATGCTCTTTTTTTTTTTTTTATCCTGGAGACAGACAGACAGACAGACAGACAGACAGACTTATTTATCTATCTATCTATCTATCTATCTATCTATCTATCTATCTATCTATCTATCTATATATATATATATATATATATATCTATATATATATATATCTATCTCAAGATATCCTGCCTACCCTACTGCCTGCAGCTCCTCTACTACCTGTGACGCCCTTCCGGCCTGCTCGCCCTTCTGCCTCCACATTTAAAGTCGAATCTTAACATTTGGATTGTGTAACTAAGGATTTTGCCACCTTGTTTATTTCATTTCCTCTGTCAGCCCCTGGAGAATGGGCTCGCCACTTTGAGTCTTGTTCCTCCCAAGTTTTCTTCTTGCTAGGGAGTTTATCCTTGCCACTGCCACCTCTGGATTGCTCACTGGAAACTTTGGCCGGGGATAACGTAAAGGTCTTTGAGACACTGTAATGTTGTGAAAATGTGCTATACAAATAACACTGAATTGAAATGCATGCATGTCTATGGACTCATATGTGCATGGCTAATGGATAACACTTGCACTGCTACAGACTTGCATTTGAATTGCTAAAGGATAATTTGATAAAAGCTAACATCTGCATTGTACTGCACGCAGGCTCTTTATATACCAAAGCCATACCACTCAGAAGGGGGCTGTACTGCTCCAGCTGAATGCTAACAATGCTCAGACAGGCAACAAGAATGAAAAGCATTGTTTCTGCAGGATCGAATATGGAAGTCAACCCAAAAGAATGAGAGAATTGACCTTTACAAATAAACACACTTTACAGATTCGTTGAACAGCTTCTTTGTGCCGTACATATTGGAACTTCTAAGACTTGTATATGTAAGACAAGCTCAAATTTGTATCGTTAGCAGAAACAAAGGGGCTCTTGGAGCACAAGGTTGTGCCTGGTCTCCCTTGACTGGACCCGTTGTTCCTCTAAATGTCCGAGGGTGCCTTGTCTGCTTAGCCTAAATAAGCAGATACAGAGCAGGCCTGTGTCCCAGTGCTGGTAATGTTACTTATTTTTTAGTCCTTTCAGTAGCTTCAAAGACCAGTCAAGACTCACTGCTGCACTAAAGAAAGGAGACCTGGTGACATGATGCCATAAGACAGCCCTAGGAGATTTAAAGTTCAAATGGGTCAGGAGAATCCATTTATAATGATTCTAATGTCATCAATATCTGTGATTGACATCTCAATAGCCAGTCCCCTGCAGGAGATGTCAAACGTGGAGGAGAGGAAGGTGGGGGATGGTTTGGGAGGAGACCATGGTGGTGGCTACGTGAGACTACACACAACCTCCTACCAGGAGCAGGGACAGAGCTGGGAAGGCGGAGCAAAGTCATCACAACGGTCAAACGGCGGCTGAGACACGCCAACAGGCGGCAACAGACTGCAGAGATGAGAGAGGCTAGGAAAGGAACAGGGCAGGACAGGACAGGACAGCGGAGGCCGAATCGACTGTTAATGTACAATAGCAGAGAGAAGCTGTGACACTTAGCATCTCAATCCTAAAATCAGGGTGTGTAAGTCATTAGAAGTCAGCTGCATATACGGCATGTGTATCAGCAAGAAAATGAAGCACAATAACTTTGTTAAAGTCGATTAAATGGTAAATATGGCTGCCAGAAAAGCCAGCGGAGAGAGATGAAGAGCCTGGAATCACATTTACCATGCCTGCCAATGTCCCACAAGGTAGGCTTATGACTGACGTCATCCATACAAACACACTGCAAGTCAGTGCCACCACTCACGCACACACACATGCATACACATGCAGACATGCATGCATGCATGCGCACACACACACACACGCACGCACGCACGCACACACGCACGCACGCACGAGCAGGGGTGCCAGTACCGGCGGAAGCCCGGTTCGGGTCCAGCAGGGCCTGGATCCAGTTGGACGCCCCCTGCTTGAAGTCCCTCAGGAGCAGGGCTGTGTCCCTCCTCACCATGCCAAGTGCGCTCACTTTCTCCACCTGCTTCTCCGCCTGCGGCTCCATGCCTAGGGCCAGAGCAGGAGTTGGAGGTGAGTGGGCCAGAGAAACAACTTCGAGGATGGCCCAAATTGCAGTGTGAAGCTACATTTAAAGACCTCTCTTTCACATTTACATTACTTAATTGATCAGCAATTATCAAATTAAAGCCTGTAACAAAAAATAGCTAATTCCATTAAACCTTGTTACACCCATAAAAAAACCATTAAGCGTTATTTAGAGACCAGCATCAGTCGTCAACGTCAGACAGCGAGCAAGACGTGCTAAATGTGTAAAATAATGGTTTAGTGCTAATTCTGTTCAGTCTGTCAAGACAGTCAAGAAACAGGCCACAGGTTGTTTTGCTAATCTCTAAACTAGCGTCGCAGATTATGTTATCAAGGATGTTAGATTTTTACTGGCTAGAGTTTTTAGCTCATTTCATCCATGAGTTTTATGTTTAACTGTAACAGGAGGTCACAAATCTTCCAAATTATAAAACACATTCCAGAAAACCGCAGTGATATGGACAGAACGTGGGAGCAAGTTTCCCTGGGGCACTGTATTCTTAGGATTACAGTCGGATTCTAGAAGCCTTGGCGTAATGTGGGGTCTTCACATAGTTATCTGACTTCAAAATAGGCCTCCTGCTGATTCAGCCCCGTTAATATGGATGCGGCTGTAAGTGGCAGCTGCAATACGACAGCTCACCGGCATAGGCGCTGAGGCATCGGGATAGCACGCTGAGAGGCAGCAGGGGGTCCATGAGGGTGAGCAGGCGCGAGGGCGAGGCGTAGGCTGTCAGCAGTGTGGCAGGGTAGGCGACCATGATGCCGTCGGGCATACGCACGCCATGCGCCGCAGCCCGCATGGACACCGTCAGGCACAGGTTACCCCCGGCGCTGTCGCCAGCCAGGCAGACGCTCTCACCCGTCCATCCTAGCCAGGGGAGAACGAGTGTGACAGTGTTAACATGACGTCCTGTCTGGGGCTCCCCCCTGCACTCCCCTCCCACCATAACCCTGGAATGGATCAGTGCTTTGAAGTTGGATGGATGTATGGTTGGATGGGTTAGCACTGGTGCTGGGTGGTATGCTGGTTTTCATTTCCCGCACATTATGAATCTTTCATATACAGCCATATTGTAACATTACTCTGAAACTCTGAAACAAAAGCAGTAATGCTTCAGAAGGCAGCAAATGATATAATATTGTTCGCTGTTAGAAGCGCAATGGATCACTGTACAGAGTGTATTGAGAGGGGACGCCTGTTAACTGTGCATTTAGAGGTACTGCTTCAGTCTTGGATTATGTGTAATATAATTAAGTCTGCAATTAAATCCCTCATTATGCAAAATCCCTCATTATCGATTTATCTTGGTAATAATCATGTTTGTTAAGCAAACATGATGCTACCAAGCTAAGTATACAGTTATCAATAAAACAGGTCACTATGTAGCAAAATATACTAGTCCAATAAAGCTTCTTATCAAGCTAAGTATATAGCTGTAATCAATAAAACATCGAGCTGATGTTATCGAGCTGAATATATATTAAAAATCTAATAAAGCATGTCGGTTATACTATGAAGCTGAATATAAACTTTTTTATAATAAGAACACACCTTGTATTTTATTGATGCAAATGCTTAATGCTGAGGAAAGGGTGAACTTGATACTACAGTATAATATACCGTGAAATTGCCACAATCTTTTAAAAAAAAAAAAATTATATAAACTTTTGGTCATGCTGCCCAGTACTAGTTAGCACCATGTAGCAGCACTGCACTAGGCATGTACCAGTAAGAGAAAGAGAGATCAAGCGAGAGAGAGAGAGAGAGAGAGAGAGAGAGAGAGAGAGAGAGACACACACACACACACACACACACATAGACAAAGGGAGACAGAGACAGAGAAAGAGTGAGAGAGACGGACAGAGACAGAGCCAGAGAGAGAGAGAGACGGACAGAGACAGAGAGACAGAGAGCACACGGGGCCCAGCATGAAGGACCGGGGGCAGGTCTTGACACTCACCCAGGAGGTGGTGGTTCTTGAGAGCCCAGCAGTAGCCGTAGAAGCACTCTTCCAGAGCTCGGGGGAAGGGGGCCTCGGGGGCCAGGGAGTAATCCACCGACAGGATGGGCAGAGCCAGCTCCTGGGACCAGCTCTTTAGGTACGGCTGGAAGGGGGAGAAGGAGGGTGGGTGCTCAGAATAATACCCTGCAGGGAGGGCAGGCTCTCTGATGGTACCCCATGAATCAGGGTCCAGATTCCAGGAGGCCAGATGGGCTGTCTGCCAGAAAGAGTGTGGGCTTGGTAGAGCTGGGCGATATGGCAAAAAAAATTATCACAATATTTTTTCCTGTATTGACCGATGTCGATAATTATTAATATTATAGTTTCACAATGCTGTTCCATGTAATAATGTAATAATCAAAACAATAATAAAAATAACCATATTCTGACAAATAGAATTAATACATTTAAATAAACAATATTAGTAAACAAATATTTATTTGCCAACAAATTTTACTGTTTACATACAAAATTCCCTTAAAACTATAAAGGTTATTGATTTTCAAGTATTCAAAGAAACATAGCTCAAATGAACAAAACAATATAATAATGTAACAATGTGCAAAACTGTATAATATTACAAATATGTTAAAGGGCAAACATAAAATAAAGCAGGTCTCTTAAAAACTTTTTTAAATTATGAGGTAGAAAAGTATCTAAACCAAACAAAAAAAAAAAAACACTTATTCAAAAAAATGCTAAATCATGATTAGATTTTTCTGTCCGGCGCTGCAAAACGTCACCACGTCACATGGTACAAAATCCTCGCGAGAGCAAGACAACTTGAGACAGATCGTGCAGCACCTCTCACCCGGCTGCACAAACTGGAACCGCCTCCGTGACGACACAACTTTGCCATTTTTGGCTGAAGAGTTTAGTCACATGCATGACGTTTGCATCCCAGGAAGTTCCAGTGCGTTATCTGCTGTTTCTCCCGAAAAGCACGTAAAGCAGTGAGAACTGGTTTTCAGTTCATTTACCTGGTAAAATAAAGTTTAAATAAGTTACATAAATGCCCTAACAGTACACGTAAGTTAGTGGTCTATTTATTGTTAGTTACTGTAATGTTGCGCTGATTTATTTGTTTAATCGTCCTATCTGTGAAGAAATGCATTGCTTCTTTAAGGGAGGATGGGCAAAATTACAACATCGTCGGTGATTGGCTGTTGTGTTGGCGTTCAGTAAACCTCTGCTCAACAGGCCATCGAATTGTCTGTCTCAGCGCATTCTCTAAAACGGAGCAAACTTGGTTGATCAAATTTTATAGTCTGTGTGTATCATCATGATCGTCCTCATTTTTTATCGCTAAAAAAATCGAGATTGTTTTATCACCCAGCGCTTAGGGCTTGGGGAAGCAGGATCAGAGCGGCTGGAACAGAGCGGGAAGAAACATAAGCTCAAGCCTGGGGGCCACACTCTGGGGGGCCCCATCCTGGTGTCACTATTGGCATGGTAACCGAACCTCTCTGAAGCCCGTGGCAGGACAATAGGCTGGTGCTGGGATAGCAGGTCATTAATTACAGCACCTGCAAGTACAAAGGTGCTTTACGGCGAAGGAAGACAAAGGATGGCGTTGGGCGAGCTGGAAAACAGAACTGAAGGCTGCCAGTGCATCTAGGCTGCCTCTCATTACTCGTCTGAGATGCTCCTTCAGCGCTATCTGAAATTTTATCTGGAACCTTCCGAAGACACAAATCTCCATCCCAGGCACCAGCATGGCACCCACAGCACATTGAGTCCTAGGCCCAGAGCTGTCACTTCCCATGCTCCCCCCATGCTCATGTGACAGATACCTCATGTGACTTGGAGGTCTGCGCCACGAAACCCCCGCCGTGGTAGTGAACCAGCAGCCAGGGCGAGGGGGGGCTGGGCCGGGCCCTTAGGCCCAGCGAGAGCCCCTCCGAGCGGGAAATGGCCAGCAGCTCCTCGCTGTCCTACAGCGACAGAGACAGGAAAGATGGAGAGAGGAGGTGGAATAGCACACAGCTCTGACGCTCACTAAGGGAAATTAGTTTCATTACACCATGCTGCCTCATTTACCTGATCATACTTATCATCTGGCATTATGCCAAAAAGCAACTGAAATTCACTTTGAAAAAGAAGACAGAGTGAGAGAGGGAGGTCGAGTGAGACTGAGAAGAGGGAGAATAAACAGCAGACAGGAAAAAAGGAGCCATGACGTCATTACCTGCCCCTCCCGTAACTCGTGGGAAATGAGGCGCATCTGAATGGGCGCAGGGCCACAGTGCGCCACCGGAGGGCTCACGGTGACCGAGACGAGGGGGTCTGACATGTGCGGCAGGTCGAAGGGGTCAGGGGGGACGGACAGGGCACGGTTCACACGCACCTGGGTGGAGGTCATGCTGGCCAGGCTCTGTGAGGATGGGGGACAAAAGGGACAGAGTAATGAGCAGCTGAGCACCGGCTTCATCCACAACATAAAGAATAGGGAGTAGCTGCTGAAACTCACCATGGAACTAAGCCCGAGCTGATCTGCGCTACCCCCCCCCCCCACTTACCGACAAGACCTCCATCTCTGTGATGTTCCAGAAGGACTTCCAGAAGTGCACATCCAGGTTCTGCGTGATTCGCTCAAACTCAGCCCCGCGTAGCTCCGGGTCGATGGCGTACTTTCCAGAGGTGAAGAAGGAGCTGGCAGCCACCCCTGCTCAAAATCAAGAGGGGCATGAGAGATGGAAACACACACGCTGTTGGGAAGGAATTACAGAACAATCTGGAAGGGGGGGAGGGGGTTAGGAAATAGGGAAAGGAGGACACCTGCAAGAAAGAAAATATCTACAAGGAGGCTAAGTGCAAGGAGCACACATCTGGGTGGGAGGGGTCATAGTTAACAGACTGCAACTCAACCCGAGACAGTGGGGGGGGGGGGGGACAAGAGCGAGGTGCCGTCCCGGACAGCACCTTGCAGGGGCACTCACCATATGGAGGAGTGCCCGGCTCCACTGCGTGTGGGGGCGTGTGCAGCATAAACATACAGAGGGGTGGGGTTAGGGCCGTGGCCTGCAGATCCCACTAGCGAGCGAGCACCCCAGCTGGGCCTGGGGAGGGGCAAGGGGAGCAGGGGACTGACCTATTCCAGATTGGTGCCGCTTGTAGTTCTCCCCAAAAGACACCAGGCCAATGGCAATGGTTTGCAAGAAGGGCCGGATCGCCGGAGTGAACTGGGGCAGACAAATAGGGAGGGGAGATAGAGGGGGGAGAGAGAGAAAGTCAGAGGGGAAGGGAGAAATGAGGGAATGGAGAGAGATAGGAAAAAATATTCAGACAGGGAGGGGAGTTAAAGGGGGGAGAGGGAGAGAAAGAGAGAGAGATGAACAGAGATGGGGAGAGATAGTGGGAAAGAATGTGTGAAGGAAAGAGCAAAGAGATAGGGCGAAACCAGCAAAGTGGGGAGACAGAGAAACAAAGAGATAGAGGGACAGTCAGTTCCTCTTAAAAGCAAAATCAGCAGCTCCCTGATGCTGTCTGTATAATACTGGGGTGTGACGGCTCAGAGCTGAGGAGGGCAGGAGCTGGGGAAGGCAGCAGGAGGCGTACCTGGAAGCCCAGGCAGCGGCCGTAGAAGCAGCCCTTGTGCATGGAGGCGTATTCGCGCACAAAGCTCTGGCTCAGGCCGCTCTCCTCCTGGAAGAAGAGGTTGCCGTGGCCGTTGTCATGCAGCAGGCGCTGGGCCAGGTACATCAGGGCCCGCAGCTGGCACAGCGCGCTGCAGTAAGCCTCCATCTCGCCCGCATTGTGCGCCGCCCGGAAGAAGATGCTGCGCCGGCTGGAGGAGATATAGCGCCCCTTGTGGATGATGTGGAGAAGGCAAGAGCGCACCACCTGAGTGGAAAGGTAGAGCATAAACCCCACCATTCAGGCATCGTTTAAGTACCTAACCTGGGTGTGGGTCACGAGGTGGCCTGGAGTATATTCCAGACAGCAAACGGCACTGGGCTGGCTATGCCCAGGCCAGGATGCTAGGCACTCCCACCACCCATTAGCCTGAATCTGTTTTTGGCCAGAGGCAGCAAACTCATGCAATACAGAGGATCACGTACAGGCCCCAGGTAACAAAGCAAACCAGCAAGGCATCCAAAAACACATGAGCACATGGTGTAACTGCGTGTGTGTGTGTGCGTGTTCCCTCCAAAACATGCAAGCACATCATGTAACTGCGTGTGAGTGTGTGCATGCGTGTTCCCTCCAAAACACACGAGCACATCGTGTAACTGCATGTGTGTGCATTTTGCCTCCAAAATATGTGAGTATATCATGTAACTGCATATGTGCATGTTCTCTCAAAAACACGTGAGCACATCGTGTAGCTGAGTACGTGTGCATGTACATGTTCTCTCCAAACATTGTGTAAGTGCATGTCTGAGTGTGTGCGTATTCCCTCCAAAACATGTGAAAACATCATGTAGCTCTGTGCATGTGTGTATATGTTCACTCCAAAATATGTGAGCACATAGTGTAACTGCGTGTGTGAGAGTGTGCATTTTCCCTCCATAACGCAGGTGCACCTTGACCAGAGAACGGTAGCCATTGGCAGGAGTCTGGGGGTCAAAGTCGAAGTGATGGTAGATGGCCGCGAAGCCGGAGACGACGGGCTCCAGGCTGCGGGCGTGCTCCTCAATAAGGGTCAGGGCCTCTACCAGCCGCCGGGCAGCATCCCCCTGTGGGCCTTTGGGGCCCCCGGTGAAGAAGGCGACGTTCTCCTCACACACGGAGTACAGGGCCGAGAACACAGCCTTGGTGTCCATTACTGGAGGAGGGAGGCATGATGTCAGAGAGGGGGAGCACTTGATTTGGAGGCACAGAGGAACGGTTAATTATGGGTTACATTCAGTCTCAAGCCTTCGGAGCGATGAACAATGAAGCAGACGTAACAGCCAGCAGGAGGGTCACGTGTGCAGACATATGGGCTATTCCGAGCCGGCTGCATCAAGTTTTCAAACCCTGTGCGCTGTAACACCCGTGGGGGCTGCAATTCTGGTGCTCCATCCCCAATGCGACCACACAGATGACTGCCACTGTCCGTTAATCTGCCAAACCTATCACTGTTTGCAGCAGCAACCTGGGCAGGAGAGGTCAGAGAGCTGCTGCCACTGACACTGCTGGTGAAATGCCTCAAAATCCCAGGATGGGCCATCTGATATGCAAGGAAACTGATCGGGGCTGGATGCTGAGGTTTCCTGTCATCTCCTACAAAGGCAGGGGGACTCTCCCAGAGGAGAGGAATCATACTTTTGATAGAAAATGAATATAGGAGCAGCACTGGGTGTTACCCTAACCCTCACTTTCACTCTTGCTCCTCTCCTGATCAAACGTGGCCTGCTAACAACACCCCCCCAACCACCACCTCTTTTCTGTCCTTTCCCTAGCCAGATATTATCCCCCTTGTCCTTATTCCAAATAACTCCACTCCATCCCTGGGTCACGGGTCTGATGTCTATAGTTAGCCAAAGACAGAGGGGCAAAGCTGTGCCAGTTTCAGAGAATGAGGGTGCGATAGATAACATAGATTAGATAACAAATAGAATGAAGGTGCGAGAGAAAGACGTGAGAGAAGGAGAGAGGGGCAAAGCTGTATCAGCTTCAGAGAATGTGGGTGAGAGAGAGAGAGAGAGAGGGGCAAAGCTGTGCCAGCTTCAGAGAATGAGGGTGAGAGAGAGACAGAGAGGGAGGGAGAGAGACAGAGAGATTCCATTTGTGTGAAGGTCTTTGTGCCACTCCTAATAAGTTTACTGTTATTCAGAATCAGAATACAATGGATAATAATGCAAAAAATTTAAAGGCCCCGTGTCAAAAGAACAGAAGTTGAAAATATAACTGATTACGTTTCCTCAGAAACAGTTAAACCCTGAACAGGGCTAATAACACCAAACTGAAAACAAAGACTGGATGGAAATCCCCTAAACAGGCAGGGGAGGCAGTTTGTGTAGAAACCATCGCCGCTGGAGTGCTACAGCTCAGCCAGGCCTGAACACCAGCTGCGGTCCCTACCGCTTTCCAGACCTTTTCTTTCACACGACAGCAGTGGCAACATAGTGTCATATTCCAAATCACAAAGCTAATAATTCAGTGTATCCAATCACCTAATTAATTATCCAGCTCCAATAATACAAAACACAGGCATGCAGGAATCTTTCCCCAAACGAGCTTGATGGGCCGAATGGCCTCCTCTCGTTTGTAAATTTCTTATGTCCTTATGTCCTAGGCCTACCTCTATGGGGGGTGGGGGGGGTGGAGGGCATGTGACCCTGTAAGTTTCAGCAAATTGGTACTTCGCGATTAATACTTCTTTGGCGAGCCTAGTGACTAAATTTCTTGCATGCAACAGTAACAACCCACAGTGTGTCTGGAACATAAACCAGTGGCACACACGTGAGACCACACCCTGTCAGACATTCCTATAGCCACTAACATTTGGAAGCTGAAGCCAGGCCTGAGGAACAGCCTAGAGCATCCCCGCACCACAGCAGACCCCAAAATGTACCAAGGCCACACATCCACAGCAGCATCAATGTTTACGTTTCTGTAAAAATGGCAAAGTGACACGCTGGTGTGCTGTGGCAAACCCGGGCTGTATTCCACCACCAGTCTCCACAAGAAAAGCCCCCTGCACAGCTGAGTAGCCACTCCTGCAAACACCAAAATCTTGTGAGCACCTGACACCCAATTAATAAATAAAGACCTTAAAATAGAACATAAATTATTAAGCATGAGGAAAGCGCCGTCCCAACCAGTCTCGCATTAAGAACACAATGCACAAATGGCACTTGGGTGACTTTGAAGCACAAGGTCATTAAATGCATAACCTAAAATCAACAAAGAGAAAGAGAATTTTCAGTGAAGTTGCTTTACCAGCGTCTGAACCCATGGATTTGTCCTTGTCCCGTCTCTCCCTGGTAACTATTTCCTCTCAGAGACAAGCACGAGTGAGAGAGAAAAAGAGAAGGAAGGAGAGGGAGGGTGAGGGAGGGAGAGGGTAAACCCTGATATTGGACACCGCCTGTCTCCACAGCCAAACACTTTCCTCCACAAAGCTGGTTTCCATCCCCTTCTTTGTTCCCTCCGTCAACCTTTGTCCCACTCCCAAACATCTTCGTTTCCTCTCTCCCCATTAATTTTGGGGCCAGGATCTGATACATAACCCTGTCAACAACACTCTCCTTTACCCTTCTACACCCACTCTGCCCCCCCAGGATTTGACGTGCTGTGTTTATCGACATACCATCGCTGCCTGTGCTGCAGTGATATAACCTCTCACACAGCTGGGAAGGGGGAGGCACATAGATATGCTTGCCCTTTGACAGAGACAACAAATGGAAGGGAGAGCCACCAGCCACGTGTCCCCCCGCCCCCCTCCACACCCCACATCTACACCCCAAACCCCTACCCTGCTGTTTACCCTCCTCTAAGCCTCACTCCCTTCAGAGAGAGCCCAGAGCCTCTGTCTGTGTGTGTGTATGTGTGTGTGTGTCAGTGACCTTCAACACAACCACTTCTTCCTGTGGGGGCAATACAAAAGCAGCCTGCTTTGGGAGGGCACCTGCATTTGCATTTCAGAAAATTTACAGTAATTAAGACAACTAATAACTACAACCTTGAAGAGCTTAAGTGTGTAGAAAAAATCATTTATAACAGAATTAATTCAGTGTGATGTTTATTATATGTTAAGTGTACTCATTATGACCAGTTCACTACAACAAATTCCTTGGACAAGTTGGGTTCCTGGTGAATAAAGTGTCATGCTGATTCTGAATAATTAACACAAAAAGTTTAGACCGGGGCTATTCAAATTGTGGTCCTCAAGGGTCAAGCACTGCTGATTTTCCAGCCTTCCTTTACCTGTGAACTAGGTGTAAAGCCTCTGGCTAATCAGAATCAGTAATTATTAAGCTAACTACCTGGGAGAACTGAAAACAAGGCCTGGATTTGGAATCAAGGGCCAGATCTGAATAGCCCTGGCTTAGACCATACTGAAAGCATGTCCCATCTGAGATGTCATATACCCTGTGCTTCCTAGGATAGGTTCTGGGATCACCATGACCTTCAACTAGACAAGAGGTTATGGAAAATGGGTGGATGATCAGATATGACAAAGACAAGAATTTCTATTTACAAGATGCTTAACAAAGGGAGAGGTCAGAAGCCATACATTTGCAGTGTTTCAATTTTTGGACGGCCCTGACACTGCTGGCCAAATACCAGCGATGGGATGATGGGATTTGGCTGCTAGGCTTTGCCACAAATATGCACACAACTCTGCGAAAAACAGTATAAAGCAGGACATGGCTTCATTTCTCTGTACCACATAACCCGTAGTGATGAGACTTCAAACAGACTTTTGGAGGCCCTCTCCCACGGCTTCAAAGCCTTCCAGGCTACCAAGATGGGGGATGCAATTCTGGCAAACATTCTACATGGACAAACAAGTCCACCACGGCTCGAGATTTATTTACAAGTTCAGTGTGGCATTTCGGATGCTGACCTCTGTGAGCACAGAGCCGCTGGGTAAAAGCCACAACCAGTTATCCCAAAGTACAAAGCGACACAGTAACCAGGGGACATGCCATCGTCATGGGAACAGCACAAGTCCAGCTTCACAGTCCTTCAGATTACATCACCACATGAAACGCATGACAAGTACAGAAGGTATGTCCACGTATAACACAAGGGGGACACATCTCACAAACCTTGTGGCCTTTTAAAATGTTCAACACATTCATGCCACTCAGCTCTTTACCGGACTGATTAAACCAAGCAGTGATTAGGCCAAGCTGGCTCAGTCTTCATTCAGCTCCAACGAGCACTAAGCCCTAATGATGCATTGCTACCTACACTTACTGCAGAAAATAAAAGGATTAGTGATTATCCATCCCCCAGCCCCTTAGTTACATATCCTAACACCCAAGTCGTACTGACGTGTTGAAGGTAGAATCAATGTCCCCTTTTGGGGAGCTGAAATGACACACCGTGCCATGGAGAAGAGGTTGGGAGGAGACTTGCAAAAGGAAGCCCGTCAGTAGCTGGGAGATATTAAAGATCAGTTGTTAATAACAGAATTCGCTTTCAGTAGTTCGGCTTACTCACCCTTTAGGAATCTGACAAGCTAGACTTACAAATAAAATATTTGTAACATGCATACATTGTATACATGCAATCGGTGTGACATCACCAAGATCGAATCACGGAAGGAGCACACTTACCCAAAGTACTTTACTGTGTATTGATCAGTAAACAATCTTTAGACTGGTCAGCATGCAGGTTAGCAGTGCATTTACGTACTAAACAAGCTACTTGACCCTTGACATGCAGGTACTTATGCATTTTATTTCAGAGGACAGTGAATTCCAACGAAAACTACATATGAATTGTAAAAATAAAAAAAAAAGGTCGGAAGCAACAGCAGTAGGCATCTGTATTACAGCATTATTATAACCAACTAGGATATTATAGCCTAGAGACTAGTTAACTAACAACTAGCGACAGCGTTCATCTCCTGGTTCGGCTCGCTCAGCCTCTCCAAAGTGCCCAAGACGGCTTACCAACGCGGCGCCGAGAATGGGTGTGCCTAGACGCCTGGTTACCTTTAGTCCCGTTGTCATTGTGCTTTGAGGAGCGTCGCTTAGTCACTCCATTCTCGCCGCTGAAACTTCCTGCCTCCGTCCCCGTCGCCATCTTCCCCCGCCGGCGTCAGCGGGGCTCGCTCAATGCACGTGCACGGCAGGGGCGCGTCACAGCCGCAAGCGAAAATACTAGCGCAAGGCCAATCGGGGAGCTCGAGTGGCACAGCGCGAGCCAATCGAGAACCCGGTACCCCTCGACCCCCATGCTAAAACGTAGTTTTGGGGTCTGTGAGGCCCAGGCTACACTTCAGGTGCGTTTGGTTTCAGGGGAAGTTCGGCTCTTTTCAGAGAGCCGGCTCTTGTGGTACGGCTCCCAAACGGCTCTTAACGGCTATTATTTATCATCTGTAGCCTCATATTTTAGCCTAACTTGGCAAATATGAATGCTTTGTATGTTGATAAACCCTTTTGCATTTAGTGTTTTTATGAGAAGCCGTATAATTGCCTAATTTTGTGTATTTATTTTGTTACAAAAGCAGGCATTCTTACTTTTGTTTAATATTTTAATCAAACTTTTAATTTAACACAAAAACAAATGAACAAAACACTGCAAACAAATCCACAGAACAGAAACTGAACCAAACTCAGTAAACAAACAGTATGTCCTCAGTGCAGGTTGACATTCAGAAAAATCAAATGCCTCAGCTTGGATGGGCTGATGCGGTTTCTCCTCTCAGTTAGTATCTGCCCTGTTTTTGAGAAGACTTTCTCCGAAGGAACAGATGTTGCCACAATACACAGTCTCCCCTCCATCACCTTCACCAGGTGTGGGAAGACTGAGGCCTTGGCCTGCCACCAGCTCAGTCGGTCTTCTATACGTTGGATGAGGGGCTCCTCAAGATAACATCGCATCTCCATTATAACATCAGCTGTAGTATTTCTCTTTGCAGCATCTCCTGTAGCTCTTTCATCCAAAAGCCTCCACACATCACTAGTTTGTGGCTCCTCCTCCACTTGGCGCTCTAATGGTGGAGCTGGCTGGGGTGCATTTTGCTGTTGCTGAAGTGCCTCGTCAATAGCTCTGTTTTCACTGAATGCAAGCTTTTTAAACCTAGGATCCCGTAATGTGGTTTCTGAAAGGACAGTGTTGAACTCCATACGCAGAAATTTTTGGTCCATGGCTGAACAAAGAGCCGTAACCAATTCCTTTACTTTCTGCACAGTTACTGTCAGTTGGTGTTGGGCTGTCACCCGCTGAAGACCTTTGCAAAGCAGGAGCATTTTGGAGGCTGTGACATAGCTGAAGAAGAGAAAACAGCAACTTTTAAAATTAGGCTTTGTAAAAATTATTTGGCGTATATATATATTGCTTTTTTCAATTTAGTTTTGTCAATCATATGTGTTGTTCCTGCAAAGTATAATAGTGACTGAATAGTACTAGAGAAAAAAACATCTGTCCAAGGTACCTGTCTGCACTTATCTCCACAGTCACTTCCTCAAATGGTTGCAGGACAGTGCAGACCTCTTTCACCAGCTCCCATTCCTCTTGTCTTAACACATCAACAGGTGCATTGGCAGATGTTGGCATCTTTTGTTTCAAGAATGCATTTCAACATATAAAATGTTGAATTCCACCTGGTGGCACACTCTTGTTTGGGCCTCAGTTCTGGCAACCCCATCTGGCGCTGCGTGGACTTCAGCCTCTCTGCAGCTACTGTGCTTCTGTGGAAAAACTCTACAATGGCTTTTACCTTGTCCACGGTTGTTTTCACCAACCTTCAGGGAATCTCTTATCATCAGGTTTAATGTATGCACCAGACATGAGTGGTGGTCCACTTCAGAATTTTTAAGTTTTCTGCAGTGTATCTGTCAGTGAACTCAAAGCAGTCCAGCAGGCAAGATGTCATCTTGTAATTTTCAATAAAGTGGCAAGTGACAGACATGAAAGAGCAGGTGGTTCTAGAGGTCCAGCAGTCAGTTGTCAGGCAAACTGATGGAGCTTTTTTCCACCCTGCCTTACCATAATGCACGTTCTATGTCATATAGTTTTTAGATCATTTTTAGGGACAGTATTTTTCTACTGGGTAGAGTGTACGTGGGATTTGAGGCTTTGACAAAACTTTTAAAACCTTTATCTTCCACAATGGAAAAGGGCTGGAAATCAGTGGCAATCATTTTAGCCAACTCCTCATCAATACTGTGCTGTTTGGCTGGGGTCATCTGCTTTGGTATAAACTGACTTATTTTGCTTTTAGTTGCAGTAAGAAAGGTTATACTTGCACCACTAGTAGCTGCTGCAGCAGTAGTTGTTGTTGGTTTGGGACCAGACACCCCAGGGTCAGTAGAGGTTGAGCTAGCTTGCCCTCTCTCTTCCAACTGCATTATGGGATGGACAGTTCTGATGTGTTTGTGCAGGTTTGTGGTGGAATCTGCTCTTACTGTTATTTTCATTTTACAATGAAGGTACTCTGTTCTGATATACCTAATGTCTTTAAACTGCAGTCAGATGCTGCTTCATTTACGGGTGTCAGTCATATTTACGTTTTTGCGACACACTGGCACTCTCCTCACTGCTGTCTACTGTCTCACTCACTGACTGAGAGGACCACTGTTGCCAACTCCTCAGCAAGGAATGTCGCTATTGGTTGTCCAAAAAGTCGCTGAATGACGCCATCGCCTAATTTGCATAATGTTCATGTAATTATAATGGACGCTGTAGGAGAGAGGAATAATGTCGTGGGAGAGACAAAAGGTGGTTAAAACATCCTAAATACGTTTAGAACTACAAATGAACGTTCTTCTGTCGATTCTTGTTTTTTTATATCATAATTCCAACCCTCTTCCTATATTCGGGCTTGGGACCGGCAAAAGTGACCCCAAAGAGACACTCTGGTGGAATTACTTATTCTTAAAAACTGTCATACTTGGCGGAGTTTTTGGCAATAAGCCAGGGCAGGAACAGCCAGTGGTGGTTTCGCGCATGCGCAATTCATTTGCAGTCTGGACACGGAAAGGTGAACATTTCTTGCTCTGACTGCAGCTGGGCGGGGCTGCTGCGTGAGGACTGTCCGCCTGTGAATGCTTTGGGACGAGAGGGGAGCCCACGGTAGCACCCGCTGCTCGGTGAGGAGAGTAAGAACAATACGTGCTTCTACGTCAGAGTCTCCAAAAGTCTCCAATAACACTAGAAAAAGTCGCTAGATTTGTCGCTAGTCGCTTTTTTGAAAACGAGTCGCCAGAGAGGTCTAAAAACACGCTAAATATAGCGACAAAGTCGCTAAGTTGGCAACACTGGAGAGGACGGACAGTCGCGTCTGTCACCCTCTCTGTTTTCACAAAATGGTATGATCCTATATCCTCACACGTGATTGGCCACAAGGCCGCCATGCTGTGACCAGAGCTGAGCCACTGACAGTGAGAGCTGACTAGCGAAAGGAAAAAAACTGTGGAGCCGACTCTCACTCGATGGTAGTCGGCTATTCTGATTCACTACAAAGCATCGCCTCTAGAGCCGATGCTTTTGCGCATGACACATCACTAATCAGAATACGCATATCATGAACACCATTAACAGCCGTGTTACAAACGATTAAAAATGACATGCATTACAGTTGATATAATTATTCATTACAAAATTAAAGTTTACATAGAATTGTTCAACCATTTAAAGATAAAACAGATTAAGTGCTTCTTTCTCTCGGCTGATCGACATACTTAGATTTAGAACACAATATGCAATATTGTTATTTGAAAAAATACCTTGTTTTCTACTTGACGAATACAGTTTCTCAGTTTTTGTCCGCAGGGTTATCTAATCTGGTCAGCTGGCAGGCGTGAGATTTTAAATTCGAGTCTATTCTGCGCAGGCAGGTACATGTATATGCTTCAGTTACATTATCTTGTAAATAATCTGTAGGGCTGCAAATTACCCCAACGGTTTTGGTGCAGCTATTTTTAGTGTTATAAATGAACGATATAGACAGGGTTGCCAGTTTCGGTCGGCTGGCTGGCGTAAGATTTTATATTGAAGACAAGTCTGCATATGTATTTATATGTATGTATAAGTTTTATTACCTTGTAAATAGTCTGTAGTGTTTGCAAACTACCGCAACACTATTGATGTAACTAGTTTTCGGTTTATAATGGAATAATATAGATTTGTCGTAGTATTTCTTGTGTGAGCGAGAGTCAGAAAGCATGAATATCATGCCAGATGCATGAGTTATAGCAACCCTGTGTCCAGTTGTATATAAATGAACCGCATGCAAACAAGTTGAATTTTCCATACAGGGCGCAGTAAAGTTTGCTTCAGTATTTGGTGGTTAATACTAGCTGTAGTATTTTAACTGATTTATTTACATAATGTCAAGTCTGTGTAATGCAATATACGTATGTTCCATTTGCATTTTTATACATGAATTAGCGCCGCAGCCTTGCATTGGATGTTAGACAATTTCACATATGTGTTCCCAAAGGACTCGGCTCAGTTTTTTTTTAATAGTCATGAATCCAAACAACTGCGAAAGCAAGTTACACAGATAAATGAATGTACAACGGGCTATTTCACTTATTTAGGAGGCGTGAGCCGACGCGGGGGGGGGGGGTGCTAAATAAAGTGAGACTAAATAAAATAGGACTTGCAGACGATAACATTGTTACAAAATGTGTACGAAAATAGGGGGCAAATGGATTAAAAGAAAAAATACGGCGTTAAACCTCCCTGAACAGGGCCTAGAATCGCTACGCTAATGTGTAATATGGCAGTTTTCAGCCGCTTATTCTGGTCAGGGTCGCGGACAATTTACATTTAGCAGAAAAAAAGCCACGTTAGAAAATCTATACTTAAAAGAGTGTCGTTGCTGAACAGGTTAATAAGAGGCATGTATACTGCAATTTCTTTTGAATGTTCGTTTGCTCAGCAGCAGTTAGCCTTCCACTGTAATTTTATCTCCCTGTCATTATGTAGGCCCCTGAAGCCCCTCTCAATTACGGCTTCTCCAGCTGAATCTCTTCTCCCTTAATGTTATCCACATCCTGGTAGGGTCCTTGCACCTGAGATCGCTGAATCTGGTGGTAAGCGGAGCTGCACTCGTCGATATTCAGGCCCTGTGAATGGAAATGCAGACGGTAGGTGTAACGGGGGGGGGGGGCAATGCGGATGATCGGATGTTCCGTGTTCTGTGTTGCTGCACACCCACAACTCACCTCATAAATGTTCTCTTCTTCCTTTTTGTACTTTATCTTCTCCAGCTGGTGGTGCCTCTTTGTCTATTGCAAATTAATGGCAATATTTATAAAAACAGTACCTCACACCCTACCTTGTGTATATTGATTTAAGGGAGGCTGAAGAGGGAGAACCAGAAGCTGGGGGGGGGGGGGTGTTGGTGATACTGGCAAGGCAATTTTTTTTAGGAAAAACCAAAATGCCATTGGTCTTCAAAATACCATCTAAATTCTGCATACCACAGTATGATGTCTGGATGGTATGAAAGTATTAAAATTAGACACCGCCCATGCTTTGTGCTGGTGGGGAGGATGGGGGCTGTTGTGCCAGTATGGGGAGGGGGAGAGGGTGCTCGTGGGAAAATTCCTGAGTGTGGGGAAATTTTACCACCTCTGAATATTCACTGTAGCAACGTTGTACATCGACATGCAGGATACAACAGCACAGCCAACATTCAGCGACTGGGTGGTATGACACTGTTCTCACCTTCTTGATCAGCATAACTCCTGGCATGATCACACAGAACAGCAGCAAAATACCCTCAAACATAAGTATCTTGTTCTTAGCACTCTCGCTGAGGTTCAGGAACTTCCTTAGAGGCCCTAAGGGAGGATGACTAAAATTAGGACACTGACGGAAAAAATATAGACAAGAAATGGATTGTGGGATGTCCGTTTTCTTCCCCAGTAATACATGCCGGAAGCTTAGCATCTTAAGATGTACATACTCGCAAATTTCCCTATATATTTCATAAGTACTTTTCCAATAGACTGAGCTTGGTGCTGGTTGCAGCAAATGCAGGGTATGGTGCATTCACATATTACATGCATGTTATTACATATTTACTTAAGCTGCATTCTTTTCACTGTGAGGGGAAATCCACACAAATATGTGAACACAAAGCCAGCAATTGGAATTAAATTGCGTGGCAGAATTGTTGACTGATTTTCATGAGCTTGAAAAAGTCAGCTGAAACATTTATTCATAAAAATTACAGCCCTGTGTTCTGTTCATTTTAAGTGTTTAAAGTGGTTGCAGTTTCTAGTGATGTTCAGTTACTCTAGTATTTATCCATCACCACAGAAACAACATAATAATTGTAATATTCATGCTTTACTCACTGTAAACCTGCAGGAAGGTGCCATGGGAATATATGCTGGAGTCATTGACAAGGCACTGGTAAAAGCCTGTATCCGTCAGTTTGACATTTGAGAATTTCAGTGTGTGGCAGCCCACTTTTCCTGCCTCTTGCTTGATTTCACTGGTTTCGTTTACACGGCGCTCTGGGTTGGTGGCATTTTTTGTGGCAACATTGCAAATCCATATTGGCTTCACATCATTCCCATCAAAGCAGCACTCTAATATGGCTGTTCTGGACACCTCGACTAGTAGAGAAGGTCTGTCCTTCTTGGGCGTGACCTTAGACGTATTTCCAAGGCTGACAGCTATGGAGCACATGGAAGGGCACACGTTAGCACGTCGATGCACAAAGCATGCTAGGGACATGTGTTTACTAAAGTAACTCTATGACAGGAGAACTCAACATAATGCATCAATGGCTCCAAGGTTTACTCACAACACGTTGGTTACTAAACAACCATATTTAATAGCACATCAAGTGAGCAGTGTCCATTCACAAATTAAATGAACTGAAGTGAAGGAAAAAAATATCTTTTATATAATTTTTACACATAATGTAAGGACAGGCTAGTCAGATAGAGGTATAGTGTTAGAACATAGTGTAATGGGAAGTGAAACTTAAGAAGAGACTGACATCTGTTTATAACTGATGTGTGACGCTGTGCTCTGACAGGAGATGAGCTTCATTGAAGCCATTATTAAAAACATTGAAATGAAGCCATTATTAAAAACATTATTAAAAACAGACATGGTCATCTTCACAAAATATGTTGGTATTCATCAACAGTGGAAGACATTTACCGTCATTTTCAGAAATGTACAGGCAAACTGACAAATCTCAGCAAAGTGCGTAAAACTACACTTGTAAAGTTTCTATATGGAAACAGTGCTTGAGTTGACCAAAGCTAGTGCATTCTTTTACCATTAAATTTAAAGGGTCAACAGGATTACTGGTCATGTACCAGATAAACTATCACTCTCCTTGATTCCCCTGTTACTCACCTACCCAGCAGCAGAAGAAAAGGATCACTTTGGCAATCATCTTGTCTCTGGAGCTTTTCTGAACCAAGAAGCAGCTCTGAGGGGATGGTTTCGAATCCTTCTGCCCTGGTTGTCTTGCTATGTAGGTTTCTTGCTCCTCCTACAACCTTATGGCCCCTCCCTCTTTTTTCACCCCAGTAATCTCTTGGTTTCCCTCCGACTGGCACAGGGCTGTCACCATCCTTTTCATACAATGTCCCCATACCCATGTTTGTACTTCCTGACATTCCCCCTGTGTTCTGATCCTGAGGTCTTCCATCTTCTGATTTCTTAACTGTCCTTCATCCTCATCTTCCCTTACACCGCTGTTGAAGGCATCACGTCACATCTGGTGTGCAGGAGATGCGCTCCACGGGCTCTAGAGAAGGGGGCCTGACGGGCCTCAGCATATGGGGCAGGGGGGATGAAGTGTGACTCCCCAGATATGCCCTGTCCTCTGCCACATTTATGTGCTCCATAGTGTTGCTTGGCCACCATTCCTCAGTGAAGACCTACAACCCAACTACCGGAGCAGCAGCTAAAGGCGAGAATCAGGTACAGGGGCAGAGGGTGTTTACACTGATGCTGCCCCCGAACGGGAATCAGCAGGCTGGAAATTCATTTCTGACAGTCATCCCTGCTTTACTAATTTTCAGGTTTTGATACATTTCCGGGTACATTGTCTGCCTTTCACGAGCAAAATTCTTAATATCAGACCTCTGCTCTGTCCTTAATATCTTTGTATACACTTTATTATGGGTAACTCTCCAGTATTTTATATAGGGTGCAGTTTATGGCTCTGTGTCTATGATTAGGAGGTCGCTGGTTCAAACCCCAAAGCCGGCAGAATCATGTTACCGTTCAGCCCCTGAGCACGGCCCTCAGCCCCTCAACTGTTTCAGGGACTGGCTGACCTGCGTTCTTAAAAATGTATGCTGCTCCGGATAAAAGCATCAACTAAATCATTAATATTAGCAGTCCGAGATTGTTTGCGTACTGGAAAAGTTATCAAATCAAAAGTCAAATAAGAGATAGGAGGCATTTGTCCTGATTTATTCACTGAGAAGACAAAGGCTTTTGATGTAAAACCCAATGACAGACAGTGTGACTGAAACAGGTTCATTTATTTAAAAAATGGAAGAAAAACGTACCTCTACTTAAGTTTACACAATTAAAACCCTCTTACAGATAAAAATCAAAGCCCAAATACACAGTATACTTCTTGAATATCCATATAGATCAGATAAATGTGTGTTGAGCTCCTCTCTGATCAGACCTGCTCCACACTGCCATCTGGGAAAACGGCCAGCTGCATTTGGCAAGTGATGAGAAACGAGCACAGCACCATAAAAAAAAAAAAAGAAAAAGGTGGATACAGCACAGATCAAAACGACACTAGATATACTCTGATTGACCGTTGAACCTAACTCAATGTGATCATGCACCAAAGGATCGCCACAGTGTTTCCAGAAAAGCCCTTTGGAAAGATGGAGGATTGATCACTACCAGGCACCCATATAAGTATAATTCTTAAACATATACGTCTGTGTATTTGCATATAGGATGTGTGTGGAAAGTGTGCAGGGGGGATGATACTAGGCTGGCTGCTGCAAGGAGAATGGAGGGGGCCTGGTGGCCTCCAGCCCCCAGTGTGTGCAGCTAGGACCCCTGCCATCTCCATGCACTCATGCAGCATCGCAAGGCTGCGTACTGCCAGGCCAAAACAGGCACGTTCAGCAGGAACAGACCAGAGAGAATCTCCTTCCTACAAATGATGAAATGATGGTCAAAAGCCAAATGAGACACTACATGTCTTTACTGATCACTACAGCCAGATATAATGGCAAACTATGGGTGTTGGTAGTAGACAGTTACGCTTAATGTTGGTCTCCATGCTTGTGATGGATGAGGATTTCCAAGGAACATCTCTGACGTGTTCGTCAATGCATAGTACGAACTTTAGACTGTAATTTTGAAAAAAGCCCATTAGAGAATATTTAAAGAAACACTCAATAAAATTGCATTATGGGGCATAGCAGGAAGAGGGCAGGAGAGTTAGGTCCTGGTAGAAACCCAGTCAGTAGGATCTCTGCCCTCCTCCTCGCGTGTCCTGCATCTTTGACCCAGAGTTTTTGTGGGGGAGGGGGGAACAAGTATGGAGAGGACATAGAGGGTACTCTGGAAAATACTTCTCAACTACAAGCATTTACAGGTCATTTATTTAGTCAAATCTGGCCATGTGCTTCTAAGATGCTACGTACATCGATAGGACATGGGAAGTAGCTGTGGAAACTAGAGGTCATAAATGGTGTTGCGGTTTAACTTATATACGGTGTCAAGGCCCTGCTTAAAAAATAAGCTAAACTGCATAATACAGCAGAGATGAAAGCACACTGATCATCAGCAGAAAGCGGACAGTTACAGTAATGGACTGCAGCAGCTGTGTCTTGGCTGATGTCTCGAGCTCTAACTCATTTAGATGACGCTGCCAGTGACCCACGTCAAGCCAGTGGCTTCAGTGACAACGGGAGAAGCTCATGTAGAGCCCACAGTGGGGACAGGGTTAGAGTTACGGCCTGCTATGGTGACAGCCTCCATCCTTCGGGGGAGGAGTCTCACAGTGACTTACTGCTGTAAGCAGATATGTTGGTGCAACACTGAAACAAAGGGTACTCTCACAGGTAAATGAAATGTGCGTCACTGGCTATAGTAAGCATGTGGGTGAAGAAAGCTGGAGTGTGAGATTTACTGGCACTTAGACACAAAAATGACAAGAACTGAGACCCTCAAGGGAAGTTTGAAGGATAGCTGAAGGTTTTTTTGAGAATAAGGTTAATATGAAAACAATTTACTGAAAAATAAATCTATTCATCAGGTTCTATCTTTGGTCCTGCTCTGATGCTGGAGATTTAAAAGACTAAATAAAAAAACTACCATTTATCATCTTGAAGAAAAATACATATTGCTGTTGATATAGATATAACTTTCATCCTACGTACTATGACAGCATTGTTACTGGCTCCCAGCATGTGACACCCCCTCGCTGTGCTACGTGGTACAGTCCAGAGAACGTGACACCCTTTCACCGTGTCCCACACTACAGTCCAGAGAAGTGCCTGCATGTGCATGTCTGCATATTGAATTGACATGCCATCACCCTTGCCCTCCTGCGCCCGATCCATGGCCACTGCGGCCCCCATATTCACGTTCCTCCAAACCATCGCTCCTCTTCACTGATAATTCCTGCTTTCATCACTTATTTGTTCTTAATGAATTAATTCGCATGATTCTCCCTCACTCTCTGCACCACCCACACCACATCCCTTACATACACCATCAGGATGGAGGAACAGCTACTAAACACTAACACTATGCCTGCCAGCTCTGAGTACAGCCTAACGTGCCCTGAGATCAGTTAACTAATTTAGTTTTCTCAGGACTCTTAATTTCAGTAATCATTGGCACTGCTCCATCTGCAAAATTGCACCCATATAGACGTGTTTTCTTAATGATTGGCATCTGGATAGATTATTATAACAATATATACAAATTCCAAAACAGAACTTCATTTGATTGTCACCCACTAATTTTGGCTGTTTTCATCTCCACTGGTAGAAGTCCTGGCCACCAACTTGCATTCACTGTAAAAATGACACTTGGCAAGACTGTATGTGGCACATGTATGTGTGCATGCATTACTACAGATCATAATCTATACACTAAGGTAGTGCACTATACCACTCAGAGAAACAGTACAGATCCTGTCTTTGGCAGTTTTTTTTTACCCCAATGTGATGAGATTTGTGTTATTTTAGCCATAACAAGCCAGTTCCCACCGATCTTCAGTGATGACCAAGGAAGGCCTAATGAAGGCATGGTGGGATCCAGGAGGACCTGCTCGTCCATCTGATCGTCCGGAGCCAACCTTCCCATGGGGGTCCAGCATGGACAGAAATGGAAGGGTGCAAGGGAAGGGGAGGGGGTGAAGCTGCAGGCAAAGCAGGAGGACTATACATAAAGGGGAAAAATACAAGAGAGAGACAGAGGGGAGAGTGAGAGACAGATGGACGGAAAGGGAGATGGGGGAAAGAGACAAAGAGAGAGTAACACAGCGACACAACGACGGAAACAGACAGTAAGAGATTGAGAAAGAGAGAAGGGGAAAAAGTCAGACAAAGAGTGACAGAAAGAGTGGGAGAAAGACAGAAACAGAAGGAGATAGAGAGAGAGATGGAGAGAGAGAGACAGGGGAAGACAGACCGAGAGGGAGAGAGAGACTTATTAGAAAAACACTGTCAAATGAACCAGCAAATGGCTCCATGTTCTGCTCCACATCAGTACAGAAAGCAGAAGCTTACCTGGTGTCCGGTGGCTTTTTAGCACCTTCTGGCCGCCTTACTGGTAGCTTTCGGCCGAAATGGAGAACTTGCAGAGGATATCCTGCAATCTGTGATGTTCTTCTTCTACAGCCTATGATTAAAATAAGCCGAGTAGAAATGTCTACCACACTATGACCTTAGCTCTTTCCTGCCCAATAATGGGAATTGCTTACTGGCGCTCCCCTGCTCACCTGTAGCTGTTTCAGATGCAGCTCAAGGCTATGAAGACGCCTCAGCACCTCAGTCACCTGGTCCTGGGACAGCACTATGGACTGCCCCTCACCATCTGGGCCTCCTTCCTTTTCCCCTCCCTGCTCCGCTGTGCTCTTTCTGTCGGTGCTGTCGCCCTCTGCTGGAGACAGAGAGAGAGACAGGTAAATTTCCTGAGATCAGGTTTATATATGAACTGGGTTCATCACCACTATGGAAGCTCCCGTGAGGGTTTGTGGGGCCAGTCACAGACTACTGATCACTGGAATCAGAATCGGCTGATACTGATCACTTATCGCCAATCACAGGGTGAAATCAAACACTTCCCAAATAACAAAGGTAGGTTTTTCAGAATAAATATAAGCATCTCCGCATTTTTGGAAACAGTCTATCCCTTTTCTCATCCAAAATTTGCACAGCTGTGAACAACTGCTGACTCTCCATCCTCATACAAGTAACACCAAGAAACTTGGGCATTCAAATTTCTCCTGCTCCTCTTGGGGAAAATGCAGATGTCTAATGAGCAACTACTTTTGCACATATGCTGCAAACTGCAAATCTTTCATAGTTAATAGATATCTGGTAAAACTGCCAAACTGGAGGCGACACAGTGCTGCTGTTGTGTTTGAAACGTCATGCACATATTTTACCTCATCTGCAAAAATCGGTATTTGGGATCAGTGAAATTAAACGCTGCCAATCAAGTAATTAAGACTGAAAATAGGGTGATTTAAATCGCCTGCCAATAGATCAGAGCATCGTTGCCATTAGAGGATGTCTATGTCTTTTGGACATAGACATTTGCAGTTTGATCTCTGGAGTACTTAAGAGCTGTTCAACTCCAGTACTTTCCCTGATATCATATAAAGAAAAATATGTGACAAGTCACAAGCAGCATACCTGCCGACTGGCTGCCATCAGCCTCCAGATCCTCTCTGTTCTCTTCCTCTGGCTGAGAGGCTTTTGGTGCAGTACCACCTACCAGCAACTGTTCCAGCATAGCAACTGCTTGTAAGACAGATGACAGGGGTCATGTGTCACTGCTACCGAAGTGGACAAAACTGGCAGAGAGGGCAGGCATAGCGAAACACACGGGGTGGGGAGGGGGGGGGGGCATACCATTATGAATAAATATTAAATAATTAATGTATGGCTGTGAATGAACATGTCAACGATGTGTGTGCCCTGTCATGGGCTGATGCCCCATCCTGGGTTATTTCCTGCTTTGCACCCAATGCTTCTGGGATAGGCTCCAAACCCCAGTGACCCTGCGTAGGACAAGTGGGTATAGAAAATGGAACGATGGATTAACCAATAAAATATTTGCATCTCACCATCTTCAAACGCGCCACTGGCCACTTTCTCTTGAGGGGCGTTGCTGTGGCTGAGCAGCTCAAACCCATTGGCTGACAGGTAATCAATCAGCGCCTGTCGGGTGTCTCCACCTTTGGCTTCAAACTTATCTGGGTCTAAATTGTGATGCAGTTGGAAATAAGTGGTTAGGAGACATCAAAGACATGCAAAGACTGGCAGATATTACATAACAGAAAGCAGTGACTGAGGCTTTGCTCTGCTGAAACCATGTGAAGCCCTACAGAACGGCAGCTAATGGGGACACTGGCAATTCCTTACCAGAGCTAATGCTGCGGGGTCCGCTGCCGTTCTCCGTCAGGGTGAGCTGGGGATGCAAGCTAGGTTGGGGGCACATAACGGGTGTTAGGCTCTCAGTGTGTGGCAGCATGGCTTAGCACTGCGGCAGCCCGCGGAGGCCTGCTTACGTGGTTGGGCTGTAGGGCACCCCTGCTATGGTCGGGGGCAGGTTGCTTATCTTTGGCTTTTCCAAGGTGGAGCCTCCATTCATCTTGAGCTCCTTCACCACGGACTGGATGAGAATGGTCCAGCTGTGGGCGGAAGGAGGGCCAAGGTGGTGTGAGGATGAAATTATAAGGGGGTGGGGCAGCAATCTGAGGGGACACAGCAGGTTCTGAGGCCTCAGAGGACATATCATACTTATTGACTTTTTCGAGAATAACATCGCTGTGTACCCTAAATCTGGCCTGAGGATCTGACTGCTTTTTGGAGAGACCCTTTAAAAAAGGTCCTGCACGTTTTTCTAGCTGCGCTGTTTTAGATTCAGCAACAAAATAAGCGAACCGGTGTTTGGTGTCCATCAGGAGTGCATTAATGCTCATCAGACAGAATCAGCGAGTTTTCAGACATAGCGGTTAGCTTTGTTAGCATGCTGGCAAATGACAGTCTCCACGGTAACAATAAAGACTTTTGCTAACCAAAAACCATGGGTGATTGGAACTATTTGCAAGGCAGTGAACACCCGTATTGCAGAGTGCAACGCAGGACTCATCACCGGCGGTTACAAAGCTGTTTCTTATGGTATTCGGTAAGCTTTAAATGAAGCAAAATGGCATTACCGGGAGCGTGTGGAGTCGTACTTCCACCAGGGTGACACATTCTGCATGTGACTATGCACAATCACGGACTTTAAAGGTGAATCAACCGCGGTTGCAAGTGTCAACTCTCAGTATCAGGAGAATTGCCTCCAACTGAATGTCAGCAAAACCAAGGAGCTGGTGATGGACATCAGTAGGTGACAGCAGCAGTCCTACACCCCCCTCAACATCAATGGGACTGTAGTGGAGAGGGTGGGCAGCTTCAAATATCTGGGAATTCACATCTCCAAGGATCTGACACAGACTATACATACACAGGCCCTGTCCAAAAGGGCAAGGCAGCGTCTCTACCACCTGAGACAGCTGAGGAAGCTTTGGGTGTCTCCGCTGATTTTAAGGACTTTCTACTCTGGTGCTGTGGAAAGTGCCTTGACCCAGAACATTACCTCCTGCTTTAGTTACAGCTGTGCCCAGGATATTAAAGGTCTACAGAGAGTGATCTGGGCGGCGGAAGTCTGTGGGAGATGCAGGACCAGAGCGACCAGGATCGTCAAAGACCCATCTCACTCCAGTCACTGCCTGTCTGATCTGCTTAAATCAGGAAAACGCTTCAGGAGTATTATAGCAAAACAGAGAGGGTCAGAAAGAGCTTCTATCCTCAGGCCATATACATCAACAGCAACTAACACACTGCACTTTACAACACAAATATACATAGTCTATTATACTATATTGTACATTGTACAGGTATTGCCTATAATTGCAATGTTGTTATTTGAGTATATATATATTTTTGTTTGTTTTTTTTTTTCTATATATTTTCATAACCTTTAGTCTTACACTTTTTATATTTATCTGTAATTTAATTTGCGAAACCTTATTCCACAGACGCAGGAGCAAAACAGGGTACATTTCACCACACATACTTGTACAACTGCGTATTTGACAAATAAAGAATCTTGACACTTGACCCCCCCCCCCCCCCTTCTTCCTCTCCACGGTCGAGTTGGCCACCAGCTCGTAGATCTGAGCACCCCCCTCACAAGTGATCATGTAGAAGGCCTTCTGGTCTGGAAAAGGGACTTGACATCAAGGAGATGCCAGCTGGATGAGCCCCAGCCCCCCCGAGTGCCGTATAAGGAGTCCGGCGACCCTCACCCGTGGCCACCTCCCTCAGCAAGGCAGAGCTTAGCTTGATGACGGGGCTCAGCATCTGCTTGCTATCTGGGACGCCGGACTGTGTCTTGCTGTGGCACTTGAGGACCATCTTGTCGTCTTGTCGCTGCAGCAACACCAGTAGGTCCCCCAGAAGGACACACTGCACGTCTGCAGGGGGTAGGCAAAAGGGTGGGGGGCAATTTCGACACTGTCAGCATCTTCCAGGTAACATGAAGTAGGATGGGGGAGGGGAAACCCTCGTACCGACAGATTTCTCTTTGGTGACCTTCCAGGTGACAGGTCCTTCAAAGATCATCCTCCTGGAGGTCAAGTCAAGATTCTGAGGATGAAAAAGAGCAGGATGATAGATGAGAAAAAAAGAGTGCGACTTTGAAAGCAATAAAAAGGAGGAAAGAATTAACTATGACCACACAGGAAAACAAAACCTATCTCTCACAACTTACCCTGCAGAATAGGACTTATGCTAGACAATACACAGTTCACACATCATAACAGATGCTAAGTTTGTGTGAGAGTGTGATGTGTGATTTTCCCCCAATTTCCGTTAGTAGATATTCATGACCATTTATTTAAGGATCTGTAAGACATTGAACACAAAACTTCTGAGCCCCATGTAGGGCCCCAAAGTGCCTCTGAGCCCTACCTTGTACTCCTGGTACAGCTCGGTGCTGGGCTTCAAGCCTGACGGGTCCAGTCTGCGCTGGTAGTCTTTCAGGTTCTGTGGAGAGGAAGATCATGACATCCCCCATCGCTATATTTAAAGAAACAGACCTTTCTTCCTCTCTTGCTGTGCCTTGCCACCACCTACCAGAAGGTTCTCCATGTCCTTCACGACCTCGTTGACGTGGTTAAGGATTCTACGGCAGCATTCCTCAGCTTGGCCGATTTTCTCCTTCTCAATGGGGTCCTCTGCAGGGAGTGGGGTGGGGGGAGAGTGAGGTCGGGTAAACCGGCTCCATGGCGGGGTCAGGTCACCGGCTCCGTGGCGTCCAGTTGGACTCTTACCTGTGCTCTTGGCAATGCTCCCCAGCAGAAGCGGGTACTTGGTGAGCCGCTGCATCTCCATGGGAATGATGTCCTTCAGCTGAAGCCTCCGGCACTGAGGCTTGGCCTCTGCTTCCTGGCAGAACAGGCAGAAACATGCAGTTCCCGAGACTCAAAAGAAATCCCCAGGAAGAGCTTTCACGTTTCGGGCGATGGGCTAAGCCTGATATTCTGGCACGCACGTAGCTACCTGTATGAAGGACCCAAAGCAGGGGTCCTTCTTTTGCCGGCTTTTGATCACGTCCAGTGCGTAGGATTGGTGACTGCAGAACCGAGCTGTCAGCTTCTGGAACCACTCGCCCTCCGAGCCGTGGAACTTTAAGGCCCATCAGAGAAAAATTTGAAAGTCACCTCCCCAGCCTCTTACCTGACCAAATCCCGCACCCCCCCCCCCCCATCTGCCATGCCCAGCATCGCTCACCCTGTTCAGGAGTGTGGAGGATATCGTTTTGATGATAAAGTTGTCCTCCTGCCTGAGTTTCTTCAGGTTCTCATAGAAGGCATCTGAAAACAGATTCAAACAGACCAAAGTTCATTAATGCTGCAAATAAGATAAGAGCAGTGACAAATGAGTTTGACTCACAATGCATCTCGAAGATGTCATCCAGGTTGGGGAAGATGGTGCCGAGCTCGGGGAGGGTCATTATCTCACGGCGCTCGAGCGGACGGAAGAAGACAGTCTGCAGCACACTCAGCATGCGTACGTGGGCGTGCTCCGTGGTGAACAGCTCTGAGGGAGGGGGGTATATCAGGCATCACCACAGCAACCCAGCAAACGGACACCTCATCATACACTCAGTGTGACCAGCTGTAACTGGGCCCTCCCTGCCGGACACACACACACTGGCAAGAATGACGTCCTGGCCCCCGCCCCACGCACCATTGATGACCTCCTGTCTCTTGATTTCCTTCTTGCTCAGTCCCTTGAAAACGCCTCCAGGCACCTGATCTCTCCAGTTGGGTGGATCCTGCTCGAGCTCCAGGAGGCGAGGCTCCACCTCCTCTTGCGGGAGTGGGGTGAGGATCAGGCTGTCGGAGGAAGCCGTCCCGGGGTCGCCGCTGCTGCAGGGGGGGCCACGGGGAGGTCGCGAGGTTGTGAGGTAAACAACACATATCAACCAAACACCAGTGCTAATAAAAATGGCACCAAACCCGCCCAGTCAGTCCAGCATTTCCCGCATCTTTAGTCTATCGACCTGCAGACAGGCAATAAGGTGCCAGGAAGCCGGTTACCACCAACCAGGCCACATGATCCAACACTCCCCCCGCCCCCCCAATTTGCCCCGGGACCTCTCCCTAGGTCCCAGTTCCTCCGGGGGCCACATGGCAAGGTCTGTGGCCGCCGCCCACCAGAAGAGGGCGGCCTTACGGGGGCAAGTGCGGCTGGGAGGGTGAGGGGGGGCACGCAAGGCTGCTCGCCGCCTGCAGGTCCACGTCACTGCGGGAGCGCGACTGCTTCCCGCGTGTGGAGCTACCCCGGTGAGAGCGGCGTCGCTCCACACACAGGCTCTCGCTGCGAGCCAGGCGCCCTGACATCCTGCAGGGAACGGGGGCCGGTTATGAGGGGGGGGGAGGATGAAGGGGAGGACGAGAGAAGGCAATACAAGAGAGAGAGAGACAGAGAGAGAGCAAGAAAGGGGAAGAGAAAATACCTTATTGAAAAATGGCTCTCACATCATGCACACACACCAGGTTACCTGTGATCGCATTAAATGGCCTTTCTGCTGAACATACAAGCCCCTGCATCACATCCCAAAGTAAAAGCGGCTACAATGATTCTGACTGAGCGCTGACGTCCAGCACAAGCCCAGGGTGATGCTCCATGCGGGGTGTGCATCTGTGAGACCACGGCCGGCAAGCTGCCGGGTCTGCACCCCACAAACACATGTCATGTGATGTGTTTATGTGAAGCCTCCCTTGGAGGTCATGTGACCTTCTGCATGTGCAGTGCTGGAGTCTGTGTGACAGCCATGAGTGTGCAAGTGTCTATGCAAGCCTTTCCTTTACTATGTGCGTCTAACGTGCTGCTTCCTGCACGTCGTGTTGTTTAGACTCAGGCCATGGCGAGCATCTGGCTCCTCACCTTGTCTTGCGTCTGTGAAAACACGTGACAGGGCCCAATTATACCAATGCACGCCTGCAGGCCCAAGGTCTGACCCCGCCCCACACGCAGCGAAATGCTCTGGATCGCGAAGCGCGGCTGCTCCTGCAACATGGACCCCACCCCCCGCCCCCCGCCACATATCTTTGCAAGCACACGACAAATAGCGAAGAGCAATAAAACAGCTCTCAATATCCATCCATCCATCCATCCATCGGCGCTTACCTAGCAGGTTTGCACAAGGTTGCCTCAGCCAACACTGGCCGCTACACGCTGGACGGGATGAAAGTCCATCGCACTCTATGGGTCATTTAGAGACACCAGTTCACCTAACCGCACGACTCTGGACTGTGGAGTTCCTGGGGCAAATCCTCGCAAGGAGCAAACTCCATATACAAACAGAGCAGGGGGTGGGACTCGAACCCGCATACCTAGAGGTGTGAGGCCACAGGCTGCCCAGTTCTCACAACAAAGTACATAAACAGTCTATAAATACCTGTAGCACAGCCACTGTATATTCCAGCAGCTGATGGGGAATCTAAAATCCAGCTGTTTCCTGTTCTTTTAATCCATGCATTGTACAAACAGTGAAACAGCGCCCCTTTTCTTCCTCTGGGACAGGAACATGCTTTGTAAGCAACTGCAGAATCTGCACCATAGGTCAATTGGTGATTAACAATATGCGACTCACTACCACTACAGCTTAAGAGCTACTGTAAACAAAAGCAGACTGCCTGTTCTACAGAGTGCAGACCCAGAGCTCTGCTCTGTTTCAGATCACAAACAGAAGCAGTTTGCCTGTTCTAAGGAGAGCAGTCCTGGGGGTTCAGCTTCACTGGGGTTGCGGGAGCTCTGCACTGGTCCAGCTCACAAACAGAACCAGTCTGGATGTTCTAGGGAGAGCAGGCCTGGGGTCTCAGCCTCTCTGGGCTGGTGGGAGTGCTGTACTGGTCCAGCTCGTAAACAAACATCAGGCGAGGCAGCGACAGAGGAAAACACCTGCAAAAACAGCACATGCAAGGTGCACTCTCGCAAGCATCTGCATTTTAGCGCACGGAGCAGAGAGGAGAGCCACTTATGCCCCATTGAGTCTATAAAAATATAATTCAAGACATCAATTTTTTCTGCTTCTGTGTGATGTTAAAGCTGCACACTGGTATATTGCAGTCTGCCAAATCCCCAGACTGGACAGGGAACTGTTTAGTGCCAAAAGTAACCCTAGGAATAGCATCAAAGGGGATATGGGGTGAAGAGAAAAGCAGCAGGGTGGAAAGTGAGAGAGAGAGAGAGAGAGAGAGGGACAGAGGGAGGGACTGGGATGGTTGGCATATAAAGGAGCTGGTAAGGGACTGTCTGCAAATTCCGGATTCCTTCTGAGCGAGCGCAGCAGGATGCCCACCATCAGCAAAAGCATAAGCACGCAACAAGGGCTCAGCGCTGCCTCCCCAAGGGAGTGTCATACCCATGAGGCTACACTGGGACAAAAGCACACAAAAAAACAACACAGCCTCTGAGGACTGTGCCACTTTAACAAATGGTGAAAGCTACTACAAGATCCCTTTGCCAAAGCCAGCCTGCATTACAGTCGTATATCATACCTGTCCTTGTCCTGGGTGTCCTCGGGCAGGGGGTCAGGGGCAGGAGCTGGTTCCCAAATGGGCGGCCCCACCACCGTCCCAACTGGAGACACTTCCCCACCCTCAGATACAGACGGGGGGTCTAGACCTCCACCAAGGGACAGTAAAGAAGAGGCTTAATTCTGAGGTGACCTTGACCTTTGACTCTGCCAGGCACAAAGCACATTAATAAGGTGGATTTTACAAACCCTGCCCGCCCCCCCAAAAATATATGCTACGAATCCTCACCAGGGTCAGTGCTTGGGGGGTCCGGGCTGGTGATTACACTAATGCTAACCCCAGGCCCGTCAAGGTTCTCGGGCCCATCGCGGGATTCTCGGACTCCTGCGATGCCAGCAGTTGACGGCCTCTTCACAGGGTTGGGATCGGGGGCCACAGGCTGGGAGAACTTGGCACTTGAACCCTTCCGCTCCTGGTTAAATTTCTCCTTGTCAACTAACAAGTGTTTGGGGGGGGG